AAAGAAATAATACCCTAGGGAATGACACATGGTCTGAAATGGGAAAACATTGCACCATAGCTGAAAAGCATTCCTAGTAAAGAAAGAAATAATACTCAAGAGAATGACATGGTCTGAAATGAAGAAAAAAATTGCACAAAAGAGCACACATGTGGAAATCAAAGAGCCAGAAATACAGCATTCTTGTTGTCTACCTTTCTGGGCACATCGATTTCTTGCTTGTAATATGGCAGATTCCTTCAATGCTTCGTCATATATTTGTAGACAAGAGATCTTCCCTCTAAAGTAGCGATCGTCCGTACTCAGAGCACCAAGCCGAATTATCCCTGCAGTCTTTAATTCGATACTCCCAATATATAATGTTCGAACTTTTGCACCATCCACCCATAGCACAGCCACTCCTAAGCTATAGTCATAACTCAACCCAAYGTAGTGCCAGCTATATTGCAGACTCACTTGATTACTACTTAGAAAATGACTGGTTCGTTTGTCGCGGCTGATAATACCTCCGTATAACGTATCCTTCCCCATCATCCAAAGGTTAACACCAACTCCATCTGCAGAGTAGTCAACTATTGGTCCAGAAAAACCAGAGTGATATATCCAAACTAGTATAGTTATTGAGTACCGGGTATCTGTATATTGGGTGCCTGGTATTTCAATATAGTTTTTGGGTGTTGCCGCAAAGTCATACCCTGTGTTTGGGGTACCTTTGGGTCCCTCAGTTAGTTTGGCTCCCACGATGGTACCCTTCTTGTTGTCATGGCAACTGATATCTGATGCTCCATGTTTGCTGTCGAGGGGGTAGAATGCTACAGGATTTACCAGACCTGAAAGAAAGAAAACAAGAAATGACTTAGATTCCATGACTTAGATCAGCCCAGAGGTTGTTTTACTGTTTGATCTGTGAGTTAGTCATTCCCTGACTTAGATCAGCACAGAGGTTGTTTCAGGGTTTAATCTGTGCGTTAGCCATGCCCTGACTTGGATCAGCCCAGAGGTTGTTTCAGGGTTTGATCTGTGAGTTAGCCATGCCCTGACTTAGATCAGCCCAGAGGTTGTTTCAGGGTTTAATCTGTGCGTTAGCCATGCCCTGACTTAGATCAGCCCAGAGGTTGTTTCAGCGTTTAATCTGTGAGTTAGCCATGCCCTGACTTAGATCAGCCCAGAGATTGTTTCAGSGTTTAATCTGTGCGTTAGCCATGCCCTGACTTAGATCAGCCCAGAGATTGTTTCAGCGTTTAATCTGTGAGTTAGCCATGCCCTGACTTAGATCAGCCAACGTTGAGGCTTCAAAACTGAATAGCAAAATTTGGAATATGATGATATCATACATTGTACTCTATTGTTTCATCTGATGTCGTTCAATTATGTTCAACTTAATATAATTAATTTCTAAGTAAATATATCATTTTAAGGATATCTTCGAGCGAGTAATAATAGATTAAGATCATAAAGTAATTTTCAGAAGAGTTTGTGTACCCAGCATTGAATTTMTTCTCTAATAAATAGAGTGCTTCATCTGTAGTTCGTTTACCATATATTTATAGAAAAAACAAAAATTAAGTAGTATAGATTCGCTTGGAATTATTTTATTCTGATTGCGAAACAAAAGCGTTGGTAATCAAGCTTTTTTTGAAAAACCCACAAATTGATTACCAATTAAAGATTTCGTATTAAAAATCATATTTGAATATTATTATGCATGCGACAACAATGAAAATCATTAGTCTACGTTGACTTGGACACGCTAATTAATAAGCTTTACGAGATATATATCGACGAAAAAATAGATGTATGAAGTTCATTTTAAAGTTTTAAAGCTAGGTTTCTTTATCTAAAGGGTTTTGAAGCATCTTGTATTGGGGAGTTTATGTTAAAGGTCAATTTATAAACCACATTACCTTGAATGCAATGGCCAACATTGATAATTACTCCCAAAAAAATCGTCCTTGAAAATGCGTACATCTTCTGTTATTGTTGTCGTTTTCTATCCTAATTCTGTTCTCTTCGACAAGTAAACTTTATTTTGAGGTGGAGGTCGAGTTAATAGGAGACGTGTTGTAGATGTGTTTCAGCGCGTAAAGAAATCCCGTGAGCTACAACATTAAATGAGTGGTTTTCGGTCTATATTTAACTCCTTCACGATTTGAACAGTCTTAATATTTGTCTCTGGACCAGAGGGGCTTTAAGTACGGACCATAAAGATATCTTCAAGCTTGATTTAAAGATGATAACTTCTTGCTCACGCGGACGCTATCTTGTCATAACAATTTTAAATGTTAGTCTGTTTTGACTTCAATTTTCGCTTCGCTGGCTTCAAACCGATGACCCTGTTCCAGTGTTTAATTTTATCACGGCGGTAAATCGCGTAAAGCACTAAAGAAGGAGAATACTGTTCTTGGTAATATCTAGTTAGCTGTACTGTTTAATATCACTCGACCTACTCCCTGATAGGTTTTCGTAATATACTTCGTGTAAATGACACAGTGAAAAGAACAACTGCATATTTAAGGGGGCGCGTAACAATTATCCTCTCATATTACGTTATTCATCTTTCAAGGGCTGTATGGATGGGTGCTGTTTTGAACCGGATCGAGTTACTCTACTAATGTTATGCACAAAAACTGTGCCAAATATAATGATTCCTGTCAAGACAAATAGAAAACAATAAGATTCAAGGAGTGTAATTTATGTATGGCGCATCCTTAGCCACTCGTACCAAATAGAGGAGAAGAGAGTYGAAACGTGATGAACTACTGTTGGGGGTGATGCGGAGGGATTTTGGACTCCTTTTCGTCTTTCAACAAATTCTCAAATTGTATAAACCACTACTTGTTCATAAATGATTGAAAAATAAATATTAAATTTGTGTTCCCATAACAACGTATCAGTTCACAAAATCATCCATCAATTCTCGTTATATAGAGACTTTAGATACAAATTTACAAGGTTTAGGCCCTAAGGATCAGTAAACGACGAAGGGGGGAGGGGTGCAGTTTCGACCCTATCTCTTTTATCATCTTACACGAGACAGTGATTGCAAATGGCTGGTCGTTTCTCTGTAGTACCTAGGGACAGCTCTTTCTGTAGATGTAAAAAGCACAGATAAAATGCAAATTCTAGAGTAACCGAATACGGATGACAAAGTAGAACTTGCGGGCGTGCTCTGTGCTCTTATAATGCACGCGCTCTCAATAAATCAAAACGCGAGATTCACAACGGGTATTTTATTATGAGAATGAGACTTTGGTCTAGTGTCTATTTTCATCGAACAAACTCACTGCCAGACTTGGAATTGTTCCAGAGGACTTTGTTAGCGAGCATAGGCATAACCAAGGTCTAAACGGTAGACAGGGCGTATCCTGTTCGTGATTCAGACAGAAATACATCGTGTTATGTTAAATATATGACTTATAGGCCATGAACCGCGCCCAATATTGACTCCTCCGCCTTTATTGTTAAACCATCACGATAGGTTCGATCAAGGTTATGTATTTTTTGGCCCGGTTCAACGAAAGCGCTATCCCACGTAATGACCACGAATAAAGGTGCTGAGCAATTTTCTCTAAAACTTGTCTCGCAACAGCATTATGACACAAGTTGCAAGAGTGTATACACAGTGTAACGGAGACGTAATCGTTACCAAAAGTAGAAACATTGCTGCAGCATATAACTTTTTTTTTCAAATTGCGCTGTAGGTTACACACTGCAATGCTCCATGCAACTTGTGTCGCAACRAGTCCCAGAGAAAATTGATCTGAGCAAATTTATCCAATAAATTTATCCACTAGAAAAATTTATCCGTAGGACAGCGCTTTCCACCCAGTCGTGCAACGTGGCTCAAAAGAAGTAGATTGTTTTGTTTGTTTGTTTTATTTTCTCGTTGTTTTCCCGTATATTTCAAATCCATTTACACTAAGCATTCCATTTTTAACTCGCTTAGACTTTCTGTCTGCTCTTCCCGCTGTATTTCCGGAGTTTTCGTCTGATTGTCCCATTATAAACGCACATATATGCAGCTTGATTTTCATTGTGTTCTACCGTGACCACAAATTCGATTCTTCATCGTGATGACAAGATCATTAGAAATGTGGTTGGAGTGAAATTTCAACAGCAGTTCTAGATGTCATTTGGTTCAATGAAAAAGAGCCGCTCTACGGAAATGTTCCTTCTAAATCCTGTTCAATTTTGGCTTGATTTTTCAATTCAATATGTTTGCGAGGATTATAAATTGTGATTGTCGTTTAATGCCAAAAAAAAAAATCAATTTGTAGGCGGAAGGAAAATCTTCACTCCACCCTCCCCTCCCCTCTATCAAAGGAAGGGTGTAACAAAAACTAGAGAGTTATCCGATCAAGTGGCTGACAAGATAAACTTCCTTGGCGCTAAACAAAGCCGGGAAACGTGGATCAGAACAGGAAACAAACTCAAGAAAATCCACCCAAATACATCCAGAAAATTGTACTCATTGTTTTAGGATTTTATTTGAAGTGTATTTTGAGTAACGTTTACAAAACCTCTTGAATAATCTTCGTCACAAATTGTTTTCCCTGTCGAATACGTGGTGAACTTCACGTACTCGTAACATTGTTACAACATTGCAGCTTTACGCAACTCGTCGTCATATAATTGAAGGTCAAGGTGAGGTTGATCTTACGTCTTACACCAAACCCCACGTATGTTTCCTGGTGTATATCTCGTCCTGTTCTGTGTCAGGAAACGCTCTGTTAAAACCAAGAGTCCAGACTGATAGATCAGTTACGTGGCATATAGTAAACTGTACCTCCAGGGCTTGCCTCAAGAGGTTCTTATTTGCGTAGGTTAGGTTTTGGCTAGAACCCTAGGCGCAGGAAGCAAATACATGTATCCCGGAACATAATATTTCTCCTCTCGCGAATTCTCGTATCCATATTCATGTGTCTTCACATGCGCAACCGTTAAACAAAGAAATGATACTCAAGGGAATGACACATGGTCTGAAATGAGACAACGTTGTACCATAGCTGAAAAGCGTTTATAGTAAAGAAAGAAATAATACTCAAGGGAGTGATACTTGGTCTGAAATGGGAAAACATTGTACCATAGCTGAAAAGCATTCCTAGTAAAGAAAGAAATAATACTCAAGAGAATGACACATGGTCTGAAATGGGACAACGTTGTACCATAGCTAAAAGAGGTCTACTCATAGGAAGCCATTTTAGTGTTTTGGTCATTTTCATTGGTTAAGATTCAGTTTTTCGAGCTCAGTTTCTGATTGATGAAGATGGGAAGTCATTGTTCTTTTCTAAGGGAATAATGATTTGTTGAGATGAGGTTTTTGCGCTCTCCGATTGGTTGAGGCGAAGCTACGGCGACGGAGCATCCATGGTATCAGTTCAATCGTTGCGTTTCAAATTGTCTTCAAATCTTTCAAACACAAAGATAATCTAGAAAGATTGACTTTAAAGTGACAAAAAGAACCCTGAAATCCGGTTATACTTCTTCTCTTTGCAAACATTTTAAAAGCTTGTTTGTTCATCGTTTTTTATGTTTGCAATCTATTAACTATCATCACTATATTTCGCGTAATGTGCTCAAGGGGTCGACAGATATCCTGGGTAAAATCCTTTGACAGTAAAAAATACCTCGGCGAAAACCACTCGATTTTGTTTTTAGTAAACTTTTCGTTGTTAGTTTTAGCTCTATTGGGCTTCCTGTGGTACATTTTGTTGGAGTGTTTTACCGCAAAGGATCATGGATGCTTTTCAGAAAATTCTCTCTTGTTTCCATGGTAACCATATTCTTAAAATAGAAAACATGACGTCATTTGGAGTGTTTCAGGTGTATGGGTAATGAAAAATAAACGCTTGCAATGATAGAGAGTTCTTTTTCAGTTGACACCTTGGACAATTATTCACGTCTCTATCACTGCAAGGTTACTGCCGTTCTCGCATCGAAGTACAGACAAGATTACCTCTCAAGATGGCGCAGGGAACTGTGAAGGGAGCTATTTATATAAAAGGTATTTTCCCACGCAAATGTAGGTTGAGAGTGAAAGTGGCGGTGTTGTATCGAGTTTGCGGGTTGAATTCAATCGTTTCATTGCGTATTTGAGATATTTTAAGATTCGTACTTAAAATGTGTCGGGACAGAATCTTTGAGAGTAAAAGCTAAGTACCCTTAATGGAGAATTCAAGGGGTGGTAAGACAATGAACCGGATGCCTCTCTATTACTCTCAAATATCGTGGGTTTTCAAACCCTCCACGATATGCTCCTTCAAGTAACCGCTCAATTAAACTCGATATTCAAATGCTTTTTAAAATGTTTAGAAAGATACGGATTGGTCTATTGAGGATTAATTGGTTGAAATTTTAGCTCTATGAGAGTTTTTTTAAACGCAAAAGAAGCGACAAATATCAGTGTATGCACATGTGAGCATGCGTACATTTCTGGTCAGTTTTTTCTTGTTTAAACACGCTAATATACAGAGATGTTGCATTTGAACTCTTCTTAACCCTACATATCTTATCTTGGGAAGAAAGTTTCATCGCTAAAAACAAGAAAACTATGAATTTTTATTAGAAATTTATCTGCGAATTTATCCTCTCTAAATCATCAAAAAGCGAAATCATCTAATGAGAAGTAATGAACCGTAGTATTATATTCTTTAACCGGATTTTTTTCGTTATTTTTCATCCATTTTTTTCCTGATATAGCCTCGGGGTTTTTTCTCTTGTGATAGACTGTCAAGACAAAAGAGAAGCCTCAGTTTCGCATTAACAACTCCTCTCCATGACAGGTGGAACGATATTTTCATAAACACAAGGTGAATAATTGTATTTTGTCGGTTGTGTCAAAGCGTGGTTCGTTTGACTTGATCATTTGAACCAGTACGTTCGTTCCTTCGACGACTTACACCATCTTCAAGTGACTTGATGTCGAACTTCACGATGGAGTTCACAGGAAACCAATCAAGAAACAAAAGTGAGATTCAAGGTAAGTAAATATTTAGTCAAATTTGAAAGATCCTTCTTTCTTTTAAGGATTTATCTAGTTTTTCAATATTCATTTATTTAATTTATATTTTCAGAGGTCGTGACTCGATTTATTAGTACTTGCGTCATTTGTTAGTCGCTTGTTTTATTCAATAGAAATTTCAAGTTGGGAATCAGTTTTTTCGTATAAGCTAGTGATTATTTTTACAGCACGGTCATACACTGAATACCATCAAGATGAATGATAAAATGCGAACCAATTAGGATTTTTTTAGCACTTTCGTCGCTAGTTTTATTAAATGAATTTTTTATTTTGGGTTTTTTTTCTACCAACGTTAATAACTACTCTTGGGATTCTTCTTTATATAACATAATAGGATCGTAGGATACCCATATCAAGATAAATGACGAACCATTGAGCGAGTAGGACCTTTTTTTAGCAAAAGGTAGAGTTATTATAGAAACCCTGTCGAGGGGGACGGTTGCCATGTAAAAAATATCGCTCTGTCTCTTAGAACTTTGGGTTAATTATCTCCGTCTGTTGTAAGGATCAAAGTTATTGATATCTAAATAATCCTTCAAATGAAGTAATTTGAACCAAGAAAACTTACTTTGATCTGTATTGAATCTAACAAATCCTTTTACTTTGAATAAGGGTAAAAATTAGAATTAACTTTGTCTAGTGAACTAACAGATGTTTTTCAAAGGGTTTTGCGTCTAATTTTATTTTTTCCCATCCGTCTATCCATCCATCTAATCATCCAACCATCTTTTTATCTTTTTGTTATAAATATGCATATGTTCCCGTTTGTTCCATCCATTTGCGTGTTTCCATATAGTTCTTTTTTTTTTTTTCTTTTTTTTTAAATCTGTTTTTTATCCATCCATTCGTTTATTCATTTCTAACCTTTTTTCATTCCTTCATTCATCCATCCATCCGTCCGTCCGTCCGTCCGTCCATCCATTCATTCATTTCATTATCGCGCAATGGAACTTGAAAACATTTTTTATAGATTATTAATCGTTTCACCTGTTTCAATTCCTCCTTTTTTGCCTTTCTTTTATTTCTACGCGCCATTTGTCATTTCCTATCTTTTCCCAATCTAGTTGAACCTCAAGGGGTCAGACTAAGTTCCACGGCATCAAAGATTACAGTACTAGGATGCGTAGGATGTTTAGAAGCAGGCGTAGCTCAGTTGGTTAGTGCGCGACCTTCAGAGCTTGAGATCCACGGTTCTATCCTTAGGATCTCAACGTCTGTTTCGACTTCTCTCTAATCCGTGTAGCTTCAGCTTTAAATACTCTTAAAACAGAGCACTGATGGAGAGAGGGGGATAAAGTGCGCACCGTCGGCTTCCATTGATAGCAGTTGAATTTCAACTAAAGGAACTACCGACGTTAAATATAGGTACTTTACCTTTTTAGGTTAAATATCTCGGCTACATGTCACACTCATCGATAACAGCGGAAAAGCGGAAATCAAAACCCCAATCTACATAGGCATTTCAATCTTTTCTCCTTTTTGACAGTTTTAAGAAATCCTCCTTTTTCACGAACAAAGATTGATGGATGTGAGCGAAAAGTAAATTCAAAAGAAACCCTATTTTTGCCCATACAGGAGATATATTCCGCCTTCTATCACAAAACGGAACGCTGGTTTATTTTCCTCGACAAAAAAACGAGGTAGTTTAAATATTGAATTCTCATTCAAGAAATTAATTATGACCTGCATTCTTTAAGAATTTGACAGGCCAGCATATAATGTACAATGCCCAAGGCCAACCATCAAGAGAATCCGAACAGCATGCTGTCCGCCATTAAATAATTTTCAAGTGATGAAATAAATAATTATGTTTTGTTTACAGCCAGAATGCCTCCCGCAATTCGGAAACCGGTAGACTAAACTCGAAATATGACGACTTTGAAATAAAAAGGACGAGTATTTTGCTATCTATGGGTGATTTTTCAGATGTTTACTTTAAGATAACGTGGAGTAGATTCATCGGTTTGACGTCTATCTTCCGTTGTACGTCTATGTGTGTTTATTCTCTCAAGTGATAGATTTCTAGTTTTTTACAATCCGAAAATTAAAAAACGATATTGATAGACTGCGAAAACACTTGGTCTTTTGTGGTTACGCTTTTTCTTTGAGTTTAAAATCCGGTTCATGTAACATTGTTTGGTTTTACTCTGGTTTATTTTGCAAAACACAACGGATCTTTCTCAGTTTGAAAGATGCCAACCTGAAACAGTTTCGTTAAAAATAATGGAAAGATCGAGAAGTGAATCATACTTGTATAAAAATGGCTTAAGATATTTTCTTTAATTGGTTTGTTTTGCAAAAGTGTTCCTCCGAGTTTGAAAGATGCGAACCTGAAATAGTTTTGTTGAAAACAACGGAAAGATCGAGAATTACAAATGGCTTTCACCGAAAAAGAGATTTCCTGTCAATATACCTAATGAGAAGTGAAAGCAATTTCAACAACGCGAGTAATTTACGATAGCTTTCATTCCAGAAACACGACTCCTCAATAAATTCTCTCTTAATGTGTCTCTTGCATATGGGCCTAGGGTGCATGAGAATAGAACCATTTAGTTTCGTATGCAAATTGCCCATTTCAGATCACGTGACATACCCTTGATAATAATAATAATGTTAAATTCTTTTTTTTATTATTATTTATTTATTTATCTATTTATCTATTTCCTTTTTTTTTATTCATTTATTTATTTTTAATTAATTAATTCGTTTTATTTATTTTTTCCTAAGCGCGCGCGAATTTGTTTAATTTAATGCGCGCGCACATATGCCATGGTTTGATCGCGTTCTTCTTTGTCAAGTGTAACGTTTTTCATTTCCCTGAGGATGGCCGAGTAGGTCGAAAGCTCGGATTATATTTATTTGGTTGATAAGACAAATTATTATGAATGTGAACAACAACCAACAAGGAACTATTTGATTTTAAATATTTACATATGAAAAAATCAACTCCCAAGAGAGGTATCATATGGTCTGAAATGTACACAGCAACCAACGTTAAGCCGTATTTGTGAGCATTTCTTTAGATTTGCTTTAATCTTTTTAGTTTCCTAAAGATTAATTGAACCTCCTTAATTTGCCCTGAGATTCATCGTTAAAGATTCTTCAGATTTCGTTAAGAGTGGACAAGTGTATAGCTCTTCCGCTTTCAACCAATCAGAAAGCAGGAAAAACCACGCTAGCCAATCACAGTGCTTGAATTAGGAAGCCATTTAAGAGTAGCGGTACTATTCGCTTCCCACGTACCAGTACCGTTAATGAGATACGATCTGGTTTAGAAGCAACATGACGTGTCATTAGCTTGTAGACGGCTCATTTATTTCATTGAAGAAGTTTATCTTCAAAGTAGTTTTTTGAATTGATGGTGTATGGTTTCAGTCAGAGTGTCTAGTCTAGTGAAGCGACTAATATCTTTGATCACTCGATGCGCCGCAGATTGAGATCTACATATATTAGACTAACATTAATTCAATAGAACTACGAAATTTCATAATGACGTTACGATTTGTTTACATCGGCTAAAAAGAAATTTATGCTAAATTTAAGCTTCATTCTCTTCTTTCAAGATATTTAGCGTAATATTTAGTTGTTCTTGCCTTCACCAGCGCATAAACCACATTTCATTGTGATTTAAGATGTGTTGTTGTCATTCCATCCCCCTCCAGTGACCATGATCCCTGGCGTTAAAACAATAGTTTGTAATGATGTGACGTCATTATGAAATAGGGTAATTAGCCAATCACATGATCCGTGTTAAATTGATTAGCCAATCAGAAGATCTTCTTTTTAAATTGATAAGCCAATCAAATGATTCATTTTCATCCTTGTTGAATTGATTAAGCCAATCATATAACAATATCAACATTTAAACCAGCATTTAATGCTCAAAAACTGACTTGAATTGTTTGGGCCCTTATATAGATTCACCAAAGAGCACCGGAAGTATAGAGGTCGGGGTCATTATCATGGGTATGTCCTGTGTCTGCGTCGTGGCCTGCGCCCTAATTATTCTACAAGTCAGGTCATTGAACAGGCAACGTCAGCGCAGGCGCAGACAGCGTTCTTCTACAGTCAGTATAATGATGGATGGAGAGGACCCTTACCAGTCCTTTGCGCCTCCAACATATGAAGCCGGTGAGTTGCTTGGCAACAATGACGTACGGTATCAATCACGTAATATTTTTAAACAGACATTTTTATCGTCTTAATTTTTCCTTAGTTATTCGCAGCCCGCATTTGTATCCACCGTCCCCACGATCATCTGTGGCATCGGTAATCTCCATTTCAAGCATGCGCAGAGGATCTTCTACTAGCAATCTCTCTAAAGTAAGCGCCATGATCAATTCGTACTCACAAGGGAGAGATTCTTCTACCTTTTCTTCTGCCACACAAGACCAATCCACCTCTTGTATCACGATAGAGGACCTCGAGGACCCTCCTCCGCCATACCCAGGAATCATTGCGAGCACTTATGCAGACCTTGACATCCATATTCATAGCAGGACAAATGCTGCATGTAACCAAAGAGACAGTTGTCATAGTAACTCAGAAGAAAGAAATGAAATTAGGAATACTACCAACGTCGACGAGACTACTGAAAGCCAGATTAACAGCGATAATCTTCAAACTTTAATCAACTCTAATAATATCCCCGCGAACTCTTCGCGGAACAGAAGCAGTAGTCATGGCAACGACATACAATTATCAAACAATAGTTACCATAGAAACAGTGTACACAACATGGGTGGTAACCATAGCAACAGTGTTGATAAAAGTAGGGGTCAGAGTGGTAGTAGAGGTTCATTGTCTGGACAAAACAGCAGTAGTTGTGGACGAGCGAGGAGCGTGTCTGTTGTTTGTAGCTCGAACTTCCTTATGCCTTCACAAGCATGGGAACACTACCCCAGAGAACTGTCTTTTGTTAACTGTCAATCAACTTCACAAACCTTTGGTAACAATCCCTCTCACAATTCTTAGGCTTGTTCCAGTCTCTCACACAATTATTTCTACAGTTGCTTAGATAATATTCGAGGATCAAATCTATTTTTTTAGAGTGGTGCCAGTCCCTCTCATGATTGTTTCATGCCAGTGTATATCAAGTCAATAACAGATCTAGTTCGTTGTGATAGCTGATTCATTAGGCACCAGGTCCTTGCGGTCTCATAGCTATGCATTTCTCGTACCCAGGGCCCGTCTGGATACCAGCTTTTAGCTGAATGGGCCACCCTGTTTAAATAAAGGTTCCATAACCATAGGATTAAAGAAAAGAACAGAACAACAGAGAAATCCAAAAATTGAAAAGCCAAACAAAAACAAATTGTTGTATGTCGTATATTTTATTTTTCGTTCAAATTGTATACACATATATTTTCGACACTCTTAGCTATCACGTGAGTACTCAACTCCTATAAACGACATTATGAACTTGGTCTATACTACACTCATGAGATGACATTAACGTTTTCATGTTGTTAAACAAATGAAAAACCTACATTCACCTCTTTACTTATGGGTGTATGCTTTCACATCTTTGACCACGTGTCATTCTCTTCAGAATATCAATACTTCATTTAAATGGCATCCATATTCATGTGTCTTCTCTTGCTCAACCATTAACCAAAGAAATAATCCTCAATGGAATGACACGTGGTGTGAAATGCAGAACACCACGCGTTTGGAAATTTTTGATCACACAGGTCCGGTAGCAGCCATGTTGAAAAACAACAGGCAACCCAACCCTGATATCTGGAATACACTCGGCCCTATAAATACTAAAATGCTGTAAAAAATGAGTTGATTCTAAAAAATGGACGTCGTCCCCAGGCCCGCTCTTTTGGCCTCTTCCAAGAAACAAAGCACTCTTGATAAATCCAACTGGTAGAAAACCATCCCAAATACTTGAGCCGTAGTCACAAATAGACGATTTTTTGTAAGTTGCTTTCATTCTTGGTAGAGACTAAAAAGACTGCAGGCTCAGAAAACAAAATGGCCGCCACAACCACATTGTGGCTGACGGCGCATGCGCATTAAGAAATTTTTATGAAAACTCTTAAGACTCTTAGTAAGTAAAATACGTTAATGTAACATTAAAAAAATACTCTCTCTCTCCATTATACATCGTGCCACTTTAATCAATTTATAAAGGAGTTGTCAGTCAATCGGTCGGTCGTTCGGTCTGTCTGTCTGTCTACCGTCCGTCCGTCCGAATATAATTACCTAAACTTATTCCTACATTGCAATGATTTCAAAGTTATTTCGTCTTATTTATTATAATGGGATATTTTCTATTATTTTCATTAAAGAATAATTAGTGATTATTAATTGAATTCCATAATTGGCAGCTGTCTTATTACAATTCTTTCATATTTGGTCAATTCATTATTTGGTCAATTTATTATTTCCATATTTGGAAGTGGAACATTGCTGCTGCTGTCGTTATTTAGATCAATTCCATATTTGGTTCTATTCCATATTTGGTTCTATTCCATATTTGGTTCTAGTCCATATTTGGTTCTAGTCCATATTTGGCTATGTTCCATATTTGGAAGCTGTCCGAATATTGCGTCTATGCACGCGATAAAACATTACTACATACAAATATATACATATTCAAAGTTTACATCTATAATACCTTTTTACAATAGTATATACAACGATATCCTCTTGATAGACGCGTTGCATCATGGGTAGTAAACAGTTTGTACCATGATGCAGTGCACGGTTGTTTATGATAAGAATCTTTCAAAACAACACACGCTTTATGAATTTTCTTTTAAACTGATAAAAATCATATCAAATTAAACTTAAGCGATAATGAATATAACTGTCCAACAAAATTTAAAGGAATTAAAATTTATAAGTTTACTTATCTTTATACATCAGGGACTAGTCTCACGTGACTTGGTCCCAGTCTACTACACATCTGTAACAAAGCTACTACGCGTGTCTTGTCTCTCTAACGTCGGCCTCGTCCCAGTCTCCTTCGGTCGTTCCAGTGTTCCGGTGTGACTGCCCGGTAGATTAATACTGCTCCGTGATTGGTCAAAATCTCGTCGTTGCCATACTCGACTCGGCTTTGATTCTCCTGGTTTTTCGGTTTCATGGTTTATTCCTTGCGCTTGGTCATCCTGTGGAATATGAGGTAAAAAAGGTGGTCTTTAAAAGGTATGTCCTTTTGCAAAATTCTTGGATTAGTTTACCTGATGACGACCTTAAGTTTAGGGATGAGGGCAAAACAATTGTCATCTCACGGGACCCGATTTAGGGGGAAGGATGGTGTTACCCGGTACCCACCACCTCTGGAAGTGAAATCTTTGATCTTGTCATCTCCAAAACAAAAAGCCAAACCATAGAAATGAATGGACTGTCTGTCTGTCTGCATGTATGCTAAAAAAAACATTTGTGCATAGAAATTGCCACTACAGACCCCCAGTAGCGAGCATTTGAACAGGTCTCTGAGGGGGGAGGGGGTATGTACCGGTACCCACCACCTTAATTCATAAAATTGGGTCCCTATTTTGGACCTTTGTTTTGACCTCGCCCCTTAAAGTTGGGCTACCTGTGTAGTATGTTGAGTTAAGAATATTTGAGTTACCTGTGACGAATGTCGATGGTATTGTACAGTGAAGTGGCCATCGATTGGTCCATATGCATGTACGTCACCCTCGTCTCCAAACAGACCGTGGTAGGCTGGGGGTGGTTCTTCGTCGTCCGAGTCGGGATTGGATCCGAGTAAATGACACACTTCGTGGTGCAGGCCGGGAACGCCATCGTAATCACGTGTCAGATCAGATTCGCCCTTTAGTGTTGGGTAGAGATTGGGAGATGCCATCACTGAAGTGAAAAAAGAAAATTTAAATATAATGAGTAGATGGAGGCATGGATTGGTTGGATTGGTTGATAGGTGAATAGATGGACGGACGGACGGACGGACGGATGGATTAATGAACAAAAGGATTGATGAACCAAATTGCCTTTTGCTGCAGTAAATGCATCATTTACCGTACGTCACCCAGTTACTAACCTTTTTCGTAAGATGGGGGTGCATTAGCTTGATGGACATCAAACGACATGGTACTAGCCATCTCAGATCGCTGTTCCAACGCACGACGCATTCTTCGCTTCCGAGCATGAAACACAGCGAGCACACTCAATACGATGAAGATGATCCCACACGTTGTACCGATCATGATACCCGTAAAATGACTGGTGCTGCTACTCGTGCTCTTGGCTACTGAACATGAAACAAAGTCGATTAGAAAACCTTTAAACATGAAAGTGCATTATTGACGAATTCTAAATCCAAATGTGGATAGTTGAGATTGTGGTGTTAGCGTCACAGGATTTCTTACAGCCTAGATACCTTGCGCTTGCACGTGCACGGTCCATGGACTTTCATGACCAGCAAATCATAACACGCATTGTATTCTTCCGCATTTATATTTGCATTGAGCAATAAGAATTACATCCAGTGGTAAGCACACTAGACTCCTCGGGAGACAAAAGAGGTCGAATTGGGGCAAGTCTATAAAACATCCTGTATCATAACCGAGCACTTTGATTGGATTACGCGCTGTGATGGATTAAAAAAGATGTTCCGAAGTCTGTTAATGATATACAGTAGACCCTCTATTAAGCGACCACTTGACAATTTCACAAAGGTGGTCGGTTAAAAGAGGTTCTACAATAGTTTTCACCAACCTTCACTAGGGTCGTAGTCCGAGTACACAGCATCAAAACCCCGACCAGCGTAGTGAGAATTGCTCTTAAAAACCAATCTCAGTTTGTTGTTTTCCGACCGGATGACAGGTGGGATATCTCGACCACAGTACCGACCTTTCACAGGCGACCAGCTCGCTAAACCATCGAAAATCTCTACGTAATCGTCACAGTTTTCGTTGTTGCCTTCAACGTCGAAGTCCCTGGAAAACCCGAGAAAAAAAAGTAAGAATAGACCGTTTTTCGAATTAGTCATGATAAAAGGGTAAATTTTACACCGTGAAAAGATGAAAATATTGGAAAAATGTTTCGGACGCTAGTCCTTCGTCGGAGTAAAAGACCCCAGCCAGTGAAGTGAGAATTGCTCTTTTGCTTTTTTACTCCGACGAAGGACTAGCGTCCGAAACATCAGTAAGTTTTTTCATCTTTTCACGGCGTAAAATTACCCTTTTATCATCACTGTTTCATTAGAAACACCGACGCAGCTCACACTAGTTTTTAGCTAGTTATCTCTTTGTCTTGAATTAGTCAAATACCGCTGTGTTCCTTGATCACAGACTCACTCATACATGGTTAGCCTCATTTCAGTGTCCAAGTGTTCACAAATACCAACGGTAAAGTAAAATATGCACAACTTCAACAATACAAAAACTTTGAAATTCCACGGCCCTTCAAAACTGGAATACGTGAATAATCAAAAGAAGCGTCAATGTGATTGGTTATAAACGCTGTCATGTGACTTACTTGAATCGTAATAAAATCTTCAACTTAGGCTTGACTTTGATAAGCCACACGCAGTTCATGTGAGGGGGATACTGGTCGGGATAGCCTGGGCTCACGAATGAGGCATGTGATTGCTCCAAAATTGCCGGGGATCCACATACTTCTAGAAATAAAAATTTATAAGTATCCTTAAAACAACGCCGAGCTTATCTATGTCAGGGCATGGGTAACTCACAGACCGTATACATGCATCACGAAGTCTGCGCTACTTCTATRAATGCATGCCCAAGGGGTAAAAATGTGAGATTACGGAGTGTACCTATATTTTAATTGTATTTTCCTTATCAAGCACAATTTTCATTAAATATTCAAGAGCAAATTCCAGATCAAATATATCAAGGTATAGCAATTTTCACAACCCATGATTGCACTTTTTGACCCCTTGAGTATGCGCTTGGAGCAGTAGCGCGGAGCTCTTGATTCATGTATTGAATCGTGTTGGATAGTTTGCAGAGGGAAGAAAGCCAGAGAACTTTCAAAGCCTTCTAACCCTGAGCAACAGAGTATCTGTAGGATTGGACTCTAGCGGACTCTTGTTCGATATTAGAGCCAAGCATGCGCAGTAAGAAAGACTGGGGTCGAGTGACTCGTGCGCGCTAATATCCAAGTATGCGTGTGCATGTAGTGGGCTTGTGTAACGGTACTTACTAGGCTGGATAGTTGGGCTGTCGTGCGTGTTTTTCATTGAATAAATAGCATTAAAAATATTCTTGCTTCCAGCGGTTCTTCCATTGGACCTTAGAGTGATTCTCATATCTCCGTATCTCGAAGACACGGGATACGGACGGGTATGACCACAATACGTCCCGATGACTGAAGACGAACTGAAACAATCAAACATTAAGATAATTCACATTCTGTTGCGTATTTTTATGGTTCAATAGTGTGTGCTTTCGTTAGCTATCAATAAGACAAAGCGGGGTATTTTATTTCTGAGCACTATTTCAGTCTTCGGTTTCGTTTTTWTTATTATTATTTTTTTATTTCCAAAGAAATATCGACGACCACATTTCAATGCAATGTCCATCAGCTCTTTGACTAGGCAAAGACCAAGATGTTTCCCATTGCAGACTACATGATATCCATCCCTTGAGTATTATTTGTTTCTTTACCAGGAGAATATGAGTAACGAATTAATCAAAAATGGTTTCCATGCATAGACGTCATGTTATGCTCGTTTTTTTCGTTAAGTCATCCAACATGGCAGTCATGTCTTATAACATCCAACATGGCCACCATGTCTGTAGTTATATCACCCAACATGGCCACCATATCTTTTGTCATGCCATCCAACATGGCGGCCATGTCTGTAGTTATATCATCCAACATGGCAACCATATCTTTTGTCATGCCATCCAACATGTCCGCCATGTCTGTAGTTATTTCATTCTCTTGGAAATAAATGATAACAGAACAGATAATATTTATTTACCTGAATCTGCCGTTCTGTACAGTTATGAAGTCGTCTTTACATTCACCACTGTTTTTTTGGATCTGGAAGTCCCCTTTGAACTTCAACTCGATCTTGTTCCGAGGAACAGCTAGTACCCATGTACACTCTTGCTGCTCTAACGGCAAGGAGACGGGGTTGGAGAATGTTCCATTTGGCTGATCGTGAAACACTTTGTTACAAGAAACTGTAAACACAAAAAATGCACAAAATTATTAAAGCAAACCTACATTCACGATAAAAAATAACGAGAACAATTACCACGTGATCTGAGGGCACAATGCCTTCTGTTAATCACGTGATTTTGTAGCAACAGTCACGTGTGTAGACATAAGTGCTCACGTGATCTATTAGGGAATTTTCCCGCCAAAACGCGTGTGCTCGCCAAACTATTTTTTGGTACTACTTTCCCTGCGTCACTTTGGGTTATTTTTAGGTTGAGAATTTTGGCATTTTTTTCATTTTCCTCGTTTTTGTTTCTTTCTATTCTCTTCTTTTCTTTTTGGGCGGATTATATTTAAGCGTTTTATTGCGTAACTCACATGATGTTTGTCGTGTCTTCAAGTAGAACTTATTCTCACTTCCATGAGCAGAATTGAACTTAATAACGACGCAAGGTCCGGTAGACACCCATAGATATCTCTGGTTATTCTGATACCGGGAGGTACATATCTTATCAACCAGGAAGCGATCTTCACCACAACCATCATATATCTCGAGATATCCCATCCTACAGTCCCAGTCCGATCCCCCTACATTCATCTCCATCAACTGTATTGCTATGTGTTTGTCATGATTCGCGATGATCTGCCAAGAACATGTTTTCTTGAGAGGTGAGGCATTAGGATAGTCTGGTGAGTAGATAGTCTCTAAAGAACTGCTGAGGAACTCGTTGCATTCTGGTTAAAAAGGATATAAAAAAACAATAAATACATTGGTACCCCCTCTAAAGCAAATAATAATGCATGATGGGACGATGCCGCATAGAATCCTGGGCAATTTTAAAGAAGCTAATAGGAATGGAATTTTTTACTCTTTGCAAAGCACGATAGGGTTGCTAAAATTTTGGCGTATTTTTTTCGTTTTCTTCTTTCTTTTTAGTTTGTGAAGACTTCTTGGTATTTTTACCCTTTGTGACTCGAACATTACGAAAGGATTTCTGGGTATCTTTGACGTTAAAAGAGGATGATGGGATTTGTACAGTACCTGAARACTTCTGGGTATTTAACCTATGCATGACACGATTACTTCAGTTAGAAAGGAATCCTGGGTACAGTACCGTACAGTATATATAATAGAGCAGTTTTCGTATGACTGTGAAAAGCTCACGGCAAAAACACGGTCGTGACACGGCAGGGCGTACGCCAGTCCAATCACTTTGCGCGAGAATTTATTCTCAACCCAATCGAATACCCGGAACACGGTATTAACACGACGCGGACACGGTCACGAAATTCGTCACGTAAGGTCACGGTACTGTCAGACCAATCACATTGCACGAGAAAAAAATCAGCCAATTAAAATTCTAGAAAACATCACGGTCCAGGCACGGCACGCTTACGACACTGGGCTTTTCATAGTCATGCGAACACTGCTCTACAATAATGGCAAAGTGCATACTGCATATAATAGACCTATTACATTACCTGCAAGATGGCCTGTACTCTGATTAAGAGAATGTGACTGAAYAGAAGACAATCTCAAGACCAACAGCAACAAAAATACTACAATAAAAGGTAAATACAAATTAAGATAACCAACACAGAACATTCTAGAATTATTTCCTCGTATCTGTAGACACACATGTTTTTATTTGGAGAACTTTAACTAGAATTCAGAACAGTAGAGAAAGCACTCAATTGACTGTCAAAGAAAAACAGCTTTGCTGAAGGAGTTTATATCTGGATAATCTGGAAAAAACATTGCTTTAATATTGTATTACTAGAGTACAAACACTGAAAGCGTGCAACCTATAAAGGTACTAAATTATGCAAATTCTGGCGTTTTCTATCGTTTACTAGTAAATAGTACTATTTATTGCTACATAGTACAAACTATTCAAAGCTTTTAGTGACTGTACTTCAGCCAGCAGTAAACTAAGTTTGAGTAATTTCAAAAGTAAATGTCGACTGAAGAGTTCCATAAAATTTACGGAGATTCTTTCTTTTTGTTATTTTGATGAAGGCCGTATTTGTTTGATATTTTTTATGCTCTTTCCTTGAACCACTTGAAAGAGTAGTCAAAAGGTCACAGGAAAAATGTTTAAAGAGCTGAAACTTCCAGTAACCACGACTCTTAAATGGCTTCCACTCAGCTGAACCAATCACAAAGCGAACAAACACGAACCATCCAATCACGAAGCTTGTATCACGGAAGCCATTTAACAGTTGCGTACTGTATTTTTATTTTAGAAAAAATCAAATTCTGAAAAAATTGTTAAAAAGATGAAGAAAATTTTTAGAGCTTTAAAGGGAGGGGTGGGTAACGTATCGTAATAAACCTCACCCCTCAAATGGTAATAGTTTGTTAATTCGTTTAGGTTTTATTTAGTTTAATATTTCGCAAGATAACATTATTATATATACCAAAACAAAACGGGTTAGTAGTCGGGTTCTTGACATTTYGTTCATACCAGACTGATCCATTGTAGTATATATTACGGGTCAAAGTCCAAATTAATGGTTTCCGACATCTAAAAAATGTCTYTTTGTGCCAATTTTTAGCTTACAAAACAATGCAAAAAGAAGATGATATATAGGAATTGTAGAGAAAGAAAGGAGGAAAATTATGAAGCAAAATTAATAGTTTTTAGTCGAATTTTGAAGAAAAAAGATGAACTCTTCAATGAGGCAGTTTATAGTTGGAATATTTTGAGTTCGTTTGATGCATTACTCACTAATGCCCAATTTTAAGGGTACATTATAAAAGATTCAGACTTCAATGATGCGATTTCTACATTTTGTGGACGTGTAGTCTTGCAAGACTTTGCAATCATTTGACGTCATTTTCCAGACTTTCTGTCAATACTTTTCATAAATAATAACAAAGTTGCAAAACTTAGTCTTCCAATAATAATCTCCTAACATGAAAAAGCACTTCTAAAGAGTTTTATCAGATCTTGATTCATTTATACGAGGTTTGAAATTGCAAAACACGCTACAAGGATTACTTTATGCAAATGTATCATCACATGACCTTCATATATATGCATCAAATACCTGAAGTACTCCGTCATAACAACAAGAGCTCGCCAAAATAAAGTCCCTAAAAAAATTACCCATGCAGAAAGAAAACTCCAAGTATCATGATGTTAAATCGTAACAGAAAAACAAGTTTCCAGGTTTTAATGGTGGCTTTGTTATCTCTTAAAATAAATATGTAGATGGTAGTATAATCGAGAATGGAGCAGATGGTTATCGACAACTCACGAACAGAACCACGAATTACGAAACCTCTTATTCTCCTGATTTACCTCTCCAATCCTTTCTTTTTTTTCCCGACTTTCAGTAAATATAATTCGGTAAAAATATATGACAGACCATAAAAACAAGTAAGAATAGCGCCATCGATACCTAAAGTTCAACGTAGCTTGTCAACAATTGTAGACAATGTTTTGGGGTTTTTTAGTGCTMATTAGCAAAACAAAATTAGCTTCTATGAAATGCTTGATCACTGTCGGTAATATTTTGTGACAATGAAAAGTATTGAGTATTAAGTATTAAAAATGGGTCGTTCACTAAGGACTTTAGGGTCCGAAACGTACTACAAACGGAGAACGACATACAACATCTCATTACTAGTAGCAAAACAATTAAACTTACTACGTTACTGAATGCGAAACATACAATGAAATCAACAATCTGCAGCACGATATGTCACTTTCAGCGATATAAGTATTTTATGCAAAAATAACTTACTGTAAATACAATAAGAATCAGCTGGTAATCTTCGCAGGTATAAAAATCTTCATCCCACGTACCTTGTACGTAAGGGTTTTAAAGAAATTAAGCTGTGCTCGAGTTGCTATGCATTCAATAAATTCATAGTAATCTAGCAAGTATTTAAATGAATACGCACGGTGGATAAGGAGTTTCTCAAAAATACATGAAATAAACCCTTTAAACTCTATAAAAATAGAAACCGATGGGTCCAAAGGGTACAAAGTATTATACGTATCGTAGTACATTCAATGTTATCCCTGTTTACAATGGGTGGATGCCTATCGGAGGGATAAACGATCGCCATATATATTTATGAATTTCTAAATGATGTCAAATGAATCTTGTTGTTTAAAAAGAATTTTCCAGTCATTTTTTTATATCTAATTTATGGCTTTTTCGCCAGCGAACATCGTGTTAAAGCTTGTATCATTCGAAGCACCTCCACTCTATGGACTCGACGTACGCAACTCATTATTCGACAATGAAAAGGAGTATTAAGCTCTCGTAAAAGCTTAGATAAAAGTGAAATATACTGAATCAAGCATATAATTCATTAGATTTGATTCATTCACTGATTTATTTAGCCTAGTGCTCGTATAAAATCTGAAAAGATGTAGACTTACCGTACGTTGAGAACACAGAACGAGTAGATTCGATCTTTAGTATGCAATCCATTCACGACGCAATCAATCAAGAACAGCCAATTCTCTTTACTATTAGAAATACTCCAGCAAATCTAACACTAGACGAAGAATAATATTTCCACTATTATATTTGTTTTGATATAATAATCATGGAATATTAGGGGGATTTGGTGCAGCAAATCCACGACTATCCTGTTCTGGCCTATCTAAACTCCAGCTTTGTGTTTGTAATCAGATATGCAAATGACTCACGTTTTCCAATTCTGCACATGCGCACTTGTGGTCATGAAGAACATCTAAGAATGCAGTTTCAGTTGATCACGTGCGCACGAAATCATAAAGTAGTTCTAATTATTTTATTATAATTGTTTTATATATTGCTTCCAGGATCGTAATATATCTTTCTACTATCAGTTATCAGTAATAATTCAGATATTTCAAACTCGAGATGTGCAGAAAAAACGTGACTGGCACTACTATGCGTGACCTTCAACTACCTTGCTCAAGTAAAGTCCACGGATTCCACCAAATTTTTTTTTGAACCACGATCTATAGTTGAAAGCAAAAAATGAATTTTTGGTTCGATGACACAGTGTTAACAACATCCCTATAAAGTATATCGATCTGTTTTTACCACTGGAATCTTTTTTCAGTTACTTTTCATATCTAAGGCAGAACTTTACTTAAGAAGACATTTCGTGTTTTTCCCTGATGCTTGTTCGTGTCAATGCCGCAGTAAAGACAGATTAATATCTTGACATTCCGTGATAACAGTGGAAAATCAAGGACAGTTTCACGACTCAACAACGTCATATCATTGAACACTTGACAACTAGATGTTGACTTTTAATCATTTCCGTGCGTGCCATTCCATTGCACGGTTCTTGTTTAACCAACTCATGATCAATCTACTCGATCCCTGAGCCTGCTTTCCTACTGATCAGCAACGAGATTTACTGATGATATATTGTCCTGCGGATGCGCATGTCAAGTTGGCTCAATCTTATGCTTTTATTCATTCTCGTACCCAGAGCCCCAGCGGTTGGCTCTCACTGTGCCCGCGTTTCTCCGACACTGACCAGGAAAAGCCCGGTATTGGTTTTTTCATTTGCCAAAATTTTTGGTTTGACTCAATCTCTTTTAGGGGCGAGGTCAAAACTATGGTCCAAAATAGGGACCCGATTTTATGAATTAAGGTGGTGGGTACCGGTACATACCCCCTCCCCCCTCAGAACCCTGTTCAAATGCTCGATACTGGGAGTCTGTAGTGGCAATTTCTATACGCAAATATGCTTTTAAGCATACATGTAGACAGACAGTCCATTCATTTCTGTGATTTGGCTTTTAGTTTTCGAGGGGACAAAATCCAAGATTTCCCTTCTAGAGGTGGTGGGTACCGGGTAACACCACCCCTCCCCCCTAAATCGGGTACCGTGAGATGACAATTGCTTTGCCCTCATYCCTTGTCCCCTTGATCGTGAGGAACGCAGGTTCTCGGAACGAGACTGTCGTTTCCTAGCAGACCAAAATGTCTTGAGGTCCGCTGCGCAATGCATTGTGGACCTCAAGATTTTATATTTTCGACGCAATAGTAAGTGATTAGTTGGTTCTGTCTCCCCAGTGCTTCTCGGTCATAATTTCTCTCGGCCCCATTTCGGGCCGAAAACGTACTGAAGCGAGAGGACCCCTGACACCCCAGGGAGGGTACGGTTGGGTATGATGACTATTCATAATATTCTATAAGTGGTAATTGCTTGACTGCACTCATAATCAAATAATCAAATACCAATAATATTCTAGTGCCTGTTAATTACGACAATCAAACTTTTATTAGACTATTATTAATCTATTAATAATTTAAAGCTTCATTAATTCAAACATGCAGTGCTTGTCAAGTTCACTCTAAGAGAAAGAGATTTATATTCTATATGGCGCGGCATATATGCAATTAAGCAAGTCTCGATGTATGATAGATGGAGTTGATAAGCGCTCGTTATCATACGAAGACCAGTCTCGTAATAAAACAATTACATGTTTCAGTGACAACAACGTATTTCAACTCCACTGAGGTAAGTACAGGAAAGGCTAGTGTAGACCGTACAACTCAGTACTAAGTATTCAAACCTACACTCGTTTTATATCGAATTATTAGTGATTTTAGTTAATTAGCCTTTGGTAGCTTAAGTACAAATAAGACAGTGCAGATGGCATTAGAAAATATACCCGAAACAGCATGGAATATAACTGAAAACAATGAGCAATCCTAGCAAGAAGGTAGAGACAGCTATTGATACTAGCATCAAAAGATCTAGCAAAATACCTAGAAAAGTAGTTCGCCATGGCTTACTCAGCTTAGAGAACTACTTTCAGGAGAATGAATCAACCAAATCCGTCCTCTTCGATAACAAACTCATGCTGTCTTACCAAAAAATACGCTTGGTTGGGGAACTCTTTATCATTGCCAATTAGAATTACAGTGAAATAGCTATATCAGAAGTCTCGGTAGAATGGAAGACAACCAACACTCAAACGAATGGATTTTTCAGTTCATTTCTGCTGTGCACCAAATCCTCGTTGCTAAACGGTCTCAGTTCTTTAATGTCGCCATGAAGAACAGACAAGCTTGATTTGAAATGGTTGGGCTTTATCAAGGCTATCATTATTCTATATCTGCTATGCCTGCTTGAACACGAACTGAAAACCGCAACACGGTGCATCTATTCATGTTCTACTTTAGTTTAGTAGCTCTCCTCAGCATGCAGGCATTATGACTTTTATCAGAGAAAAATCAAATTTCCCAGCTTTTATCATCAAACTTTTGCTTGAATGGATTAAAGTTTAATGATATACTAATGTTTTTTACGACTATTTTTCATGTCGCCTTAAAATATTGTCGGCCAGGATTTTTGAGGACTTGGTATGCAACATGCGCGCGCAACAAAATCATCACGAGCCTTGTTTCATTTTTTTAGGTACTCTAGTTCGTTAGTTATAGAAAAAAATATAGTTCGTAAATGGCTATTTCATAAAAACTATATTGAAATAACGAACACTTTGAATCACTTTCAAAGCATTAGGTTAGAACAATTGAGAAAATTAAAACTTGGGAAACTTCATGGCAACCACAGTAGTATTTTGTAATTTTAACAGTATGCCCTATGGATATATTGCCCCTGTAATGATTATTAGAGATATAACAATACTATATGACCATGGACACGAAAGGTTATCAAATTATTCAGAACGAGCATATTGGTATTTTGTCGCTAAATGGTTTTCCTCTGAGAGCAACGGAAACGTACCAACCTTGAATTGGCTTCCGAATCCAAGCACTCTGATTGGATAACGTGGTTTCTCTTCTTCTTGTTTGGTTAAACTTAGGAGTGGAAGCCATTACATAGTCAGATTCGTATACGTATCTTTCAATGAGGAAAAATTGTAACTTTTCCTTTGACAACCGTATCAATTTTAATGCCTATTACCTAGTCTTATGTGCCAGAATACTTATAAAGAATACAATCAAATGAAATTGATAAAAAAATTTAATTTATAGTTTTATATTTTTAAAGAAAAAAATACGTAAAACAATTAAAGACACGATTTCTTTAAATATAGAATGATAAACGTTAAGCATGTTTCATATTTTCAAAATAAAAAATAAATTATAAACTTTTTCTCTGCTACGAGCGCGTTTGCTTTAGGTGAGGTTAATTACAGAGGAAAAAGAGTGACTGATTGAATTCTTTAATGAGTTCGAAAGCTATTTTTGATGTGGGCTTTATTCATTCACAGTAGTACAGCCTTGTTTCATTGATGCGAACAAAAATTAGCATATCAGCTGTCCCTTAGCGAATAGCAGACTTTCATAGGATTTTAAAAATTGAATATTTAGTAACTCGCTGTCTTTCCTTTGAAGGTTGTTCAAAGACTAAGACGTGTAGATTATAAAATCGCAGCCAGGAATATAAAAGGTCTAGAAAGACAAAGACGGGAAAAATGGCGAAATGGTATTTTGCTGCCGCCATTGTTGTAGGAGGAATTGCCGTGGCTTTGTTTTTGCTTTACAACGTAAGAGAACTTGATGATTTATCAAGGCAGAAAACCGATCAAGAAACAGGAAAAAAGCCTGTCATTGATCCACCACAAGAAAGACCACAAGATCGCCAAGAATCACCAGACACTAAAGATGGGAAGAGAGCCTTAAAAGATGAAAAACTTCGCGATAAACAAACCTCAAAACAAGACTCAAAAGCCGATAAAAAGGACAATGAAGAGCCTGAAATACCTAAAGGGCATTTAAAATACTTAGGTGAACACGGGTCTCCTATTATTACCGGTGAGATTGAAGAGGTTGACTTCGTCCCCAATGGGAAAGATTTTTATACCCATTTCGCTAGAAAAAGAAAGCCTTTGATTATGAGGGGTGCTATCAGTCATTGGCCAGCTGTCAAGCACTGGGCGAACGAAACTTACCTTCGAGAGAATTACGGAGATGTTATATTTGATGTTCAATTAACAAAAAAATACGAGACCATTTTACCGATTAAAAAGACGATGACTTTGAACGAATACCTCGACATCTATAAAAAAGAAAACGTGTATTTAGATTGTCCATTCCCTCAAAGTAAAATGACAAGGGACATTCTTGTTCCATACTGTCTTCAGTGCAATGAAATTAGTGAGGGTATATCAAGCACTCATTTACTGTTTAGCAATGGAAATACCAGCTCTAGTCTACACTACGATGGCTACGAGAATCTTTTAAGTGTGATATCAGGTACAAAAGAAATCCTGGTAGCGAACTATTCTTATGCTGATTCTTTCTATAATCGCAACTACACCACAGTGAATATCGAAGCACCCATCGACCCTGAGGCTGTTGATCTCATCAAATACCCTAAACTAGCAGAAGTTCCCTTTCATAAGGTTAGTAACCATCATTCTTTAATATATTTATTCAGATATTTTGATGTTTACTGAAAAATTCTTGCGATATTTTCATAAAAGAAAAGGGATTATCTGTGTGAGCAATATTATGAATAGTTATTTGATATATACATATTCAAACAAGACCTTTTTATCATTATTATTATTATTTTTTCATTTGGAAAATTAACGGAATAATAAATGTCTTTGATACCTTAATTTGGTGACAAAAATTTTCCTACCCTCCCCTACAAAGTCGTCCTTTAGTTTAGTTCTCAGTATCTGTCTTTCTTCATAAGTAACGCCTGCTGTTAACTGCCGCGACCTGTTGATCAGACAACAAATGTCGATTATTCCGAAGGACATTTCTCAGTATATTGAACTTGAAAGTCATTAATTCCTCACGAAATATCTATCTTTAAAATGAAATGAGTATTCTTTTAACAAAAACTTGTAAATTTTGGTAATTTCTACTCCGTTGACGGTTAAATTAGTAGTGATTGAGAGGTCAACTTTTTCTCCTTTTTATTGTGTCTTGATGGCAAAGTCAGCTTATTTTACCATAGCTATAACTGTAGCTGGTTTAGCTTTGATTGCATACTTCTTGCTAAACGATAACCTTATAAGCAACTTCACTAGAAAAGATAATAAGAGTAAAGAAGACAAAGTCTTGCGAAGTAAATCCGAGAGTTCACGAGATGACACACAACAAGAACAAGGTCGGGGCCAGTCAACTGCAGATAACTCAAAAAGTAATTACGAACCCATTGAAGATAGTACGCCACAGAGAGAAGTTCATTCAGCTGAAACAACACCAAAAAAGCCTCCGACAGGACACTTGAAAAAGCTGGGAGAGCATGGAGCTCCAATAATTGAGGATTTTGTGGAAGAGTTAGATTATGTTTTGAATGGAAAAGACTTTTATCAACATTTTATAAGGAAACGCACCCCTGTGGTCTTTAGAGGAGGAGCAAAAAAATGGCCAGCCTATCTTCATTGGTCCAACCAGACGTACCTTAAAATGAAATATGGCGATGAACAACATGATGTCGAATTTACAAAAAAATACGAAAACATGCCTCCTGTTAAAAAAACTATGTCTTTGTCAGAATTCTTTGAAATATATAAAAAAGAGGAAGTATACCTAGACTCACCTATTCCACATTCAGCAATGACACAAGATATTGTTGTCCCACCTTGTCTTCAATGTCAAGAATTATTGCCAGGTATCCAAAGCATTCATTTACTGTACAGCAGTGGTGGAACCAGTTCAAGTTTACACCAAGATGGATATGAAAATCTTTTAACAGTTTTCTCAGGCAAGAAGGAAGTTCTTCTTGTTCATTATGAGAACTCTGAATATCTTGTTCGTAATCTTTCGAAACAGAAGGATAGATTTTATACTGGATTAGCAGCTTTGGATCCTGAAGCTGTTGATTTACTTGCCTTTCCTCAACTTGCAAACATGACATTCTACAAGGTATATCACAGTGGTCTATTTAAGTTATATCAAAGAATACTATGTTTAATAATGAGTAATTTATGGGTGATAATGGGTCTTTAATTCCTTTTAGGGAAGCACGGGTGGCATAGCGGTGTGAGCGCTCGTCTCTTATCAATGCGACCCGAGTTCAAGTCCCGCCAGGTTTGGTGTTGTATATGATTAGAGTTGTTTGTTGGTAATTCTCTCCTGTGCTTTGAGGGTTTTCTGGGTTCTCCGGTTTTCCTTACACTGCAAAAATCAACTCCTAAATTCCAATTCGATCATGGAATGAGGGACACAGGTTTATTAGCCACTGGCTATTAAGTGCTACCCTTGTGAAAAAAGGAGGTTATAACGTAGAAAAACCAAGAGCTATGCATTCTTATACAAAAATGATTTTTATTTCAGGTTACAATCCACGCTGGAGACATTCTTTACATCCCTCAGACTTGGTGGCATCATGTCAGATCTTTCGAGTCACCCAACATTGCCATCTCCCTTTGGTTTGGCATTTTTAAGAGTGACCCCAACCAAGAAACCAATGCAGAAGAAATAGAGGTGGTGCAAAAACAATGTTTGCATTTTTTTTTTTTTTTTTTTTTTGCATTTTAAAGCTATATGTATGCTTTTCTATATACAGTCAATGTCATTAAGGTTGTCCACCGAAAAAAGACATTTACACATTTACACATTTAGACATTTAGACTAAAAAAATATCACGTTTCCTTGAATGTTCTGGCATAAAGCAAATGCTGAAATACAATTCTCCATCTTAAATGCTCACTAAATGGTCGGGGCATTCTGGATTTTTGATTCACGAGTTGAATTTTACATTTAAAGTTCAGGCTCACTTTAGTCTAAATGTCTAAATGTGTAAATTTGTAAACGTGTAAATGTCTTTTTTTGGTGGATAACATTAATTATATTGACTGTATGTATGCTTGTATTTTCCAAGCACTTAGACTTTATCACAGTTTTTTTTATCTCAAGCCATGTGTTATTCCCTTGAGTATCACTTCTTTCTTTACTAGGAATGCTTTTCAGTTTTTCCATTTCAGGCCATGTGTCATTTTCTTGAGTATTATTCCCTTTTTTATAAACTCTTTTAGAGTGAAACAATGGACCCTGTGAAATTCATTGAACAATATGGAGAATGCGTAAATAAAGCTCCTGAAACAATTGATTGTGTCTCTCAAAACCGTCCAATATCTGAGGTATTTTGGCCAAAGGAGAATGGCGATGTAGAACTGCCAAAGATCCCTGACCCAGAGAGCTGGACTGTTACATTGAATAGTGGATATAAGAGTGAGTAGTATTCACTAGAAAATTCGACAAACTGTCCTCCTTACTTTCAAAAACCTTAATATTTTAGGATTTTAAGATTGACCCCTGAAACAACCTCTGGGCTGATCTAAGTTGTACAAAAATACTTGCCTAATATAAATTTTCTTGTCGTTATCTTCTGTAGTGCCAATCAAAGGTTTTGGTACGGCTGGCCTCTTGAAGGAAAGTGAAGCTGCTACTTTGGTGGCTCTCAACACTGGTTACAGGTATGGATGGATGGGTGGATGGATGGAGAGGGGGTGGGAGGGAGGGAGGTAGGATACGTTTGATGGATGGACATAAATGAATTATAATATTATCGCCCAGGTTGATAGATACAGCTCAAGTGGATGGCTATAACGAGACTGCTGTTGGTTGTGCTCTAAAAGCAAGTGGTATCCCAAGAGAGGAAGTTTTCCTGGTATCTAAGGTGGTTCCAAGAAACATGGGATATGAAGATACCATCGCATCTGTTGACCAAACGCTGGAAAAGCTACAGGTAACAAAATTATTTCCTTAAAATTAAAGCACGGGTGGTGTGTGTGGTGATTTTGAACGGCTGTTTTTTCTCGTGCAGTGTGATCGATCGTGTTTGTGCCGTGACCTTGGTGGTGATCGTGTTCGTGCCATGTTCGTGCCATGTTCGTGCCGTGTTCGTGCCGTGTTCGTGCCGTGTTCGTGCTGTGTTCGTGCCTTGTTCGTGCCGTGTTCGTACCGTGTTCGTGCTGTGTTTGTGCCGTGTTTCGGGTAWTTGTTTGAATAGAGATTAAATTCTCGTGCAATGTGATTGGCGTGGCTGCTGCGCGCTCTATAGCTTCGTCCACACCTGTGTTGAATCAAATCTCCTTCTGTTGCTTCTCCTTCAGACTTCATACGTAGACTTGATGTTAATACACGCTCCCGATTGTGAGAAGGAAGACGATGGTCCATTTTCATGTCCTGAAGGATATCCACGAGGCACATGGAGAGACTGCTGGAAGGGTCTAGAGGAATTGGTTAAGAAAGGTAAGGAATGAGCTTTGGTCAGTACCCATGAATGTTTACTATCGTCGTATTGATGATCCATTTGTATCCTTTTGGGAATCAGCATCATTCTTGGTTTTGGGTTATATTTTATTGATGATTAATCGTGTATCATTATCATAGTCATTATCATCATGAGTTATTATTTTTTATTATTTAGTAATCATTCAGCATCACTATCATGATCATCATGATCATTATCACCATCACCACTATCATCATCATTAACATCATCATCATCACCATCATAATCTCACCATCATCACCATCACCATCATCACCGTCACCGCCGTCATCATCACCATCATCATCATCACCATCATCACCATCATCTTTATCATCACCATCATCATCATCAGCATCATCACAATCACCTTCATCACCAACATCATCGCCATCATCATCATCATCACCATCATCACCATCATCATCATCATCATCACCATCATCACCGTCATCACCATCATCATCATCACCATCATCATCGTCACCGCCAACATCATATATCATCAACATTATCATCACTCTTTCATTATCTTCATGTACCATCGCCATCATGCATCATCATCATCATGTATCATCGTCATAAATCATCATCATTATCATGTATCATTATCTGCATCAATATATCATCAGCATCATAACACTGTTCTTTATTCTTCTGCTAGGTAAAGTACGTAGTATCGGAGTGTCTAACTTTTATGTTAAAGATCTAAAAGAACTAATGGAGATAGCAACCATACCACCAGCCGTTGTCCAGAACTTCTTCACTCCATTCTACCACGACAAACAAACCAGGAAATATTGCCAGGAAAACAACATCAAGTACATGGGATTCAGGTCTGTCACTACTGACTAATCTAGAATATGAAATGTAGAAGGGAGGGAGGGAGGAAGGCAGGAAGGCAGGAAGGGAGGGAGAGATGAAGGCAGGGAGGGAGGGAGGGAGGAAGGGAAGAAGTGGAGGCAGGAGCTGAAGAAGGATGGAGGAAGGAAGAGAAGGAAAGTTGGAGAGAGGGCGGGAAGAAAGAAAATCAATCAAAATCACGAAATTTTACTTATTTAGTAAAACCCGCTAGCTTTGCATCGAAATGTGTCGGTTTAACGTACAGAACTCGTGCATAGAATTATGCGAATACATTAAATGTGGTCATACTTTTAATTGTTGTGCTGTAATAGGAGGGTCATGAATTTCTTACTGAGTGAAAGGGGGAGGGCTACAATCATTTTTTAAAGTTTATTACGAATTACCCAACCCCCCCCCCCTCCCTCCCCCTCCCAATAAAAAACGCAACTTCCCTTACTTTGCGGACACACCAACCAGGACCATTTGAATAAAACTGACCTATCAGATAACAGTAAACTAGACAGAGATTGAACTGATAACAGTGTTAGCCAATCAGATTATCGCGTTCTCACGTTCTCATTGTATCGATATGCTATCTGATTGGCTGGTCAAAAATATTGAACTAGATGTCGCAATATGATTGGTTAATAATACTAGTTTATCAAAGTAGTCCCGGTTGGAGTATACGCACAGTAAAACTTTATTCTGGCGTTATTTTGCAGTACCCTTGGAAATATGTACGTACGTGAAGGCTTTGATGTAAACCCTGTGTTAACAGACGAAGGGATCAAACATATCGCGCAGTCCTATGATGCCTCGCCTGCTCAGGTCGTCTTGAAGTGGGCCCTGGAGAGTGACGTCATCGTTATACCTCAGTCAAGAAACCCAAACCACATTGAAACAAACTTTCATCTCCATCAAATCTTTCTCAGTGATAAGGACAAGGAATATTTTGAGAAACTTGATGGCAAGTTTGAGGAAGAGCAAGGTACGAGATAAGATATCCTTTCGCTGCTTCCCTCTGTGTTTATACTGGCGTGCGACAGAAATGGCGAGTAACGCAAATGAATTCTCTGCAAGTAAAACAAGTTGACTTCTCGCGGCTTCGTCGGTCGCTCCCTGCGCTTAACAAATTCTCCCTTCTCTCGAATAAAATACTCTTACGGGAGACAAGAGAGGACGACTTGGGGCAAGTCTAAGATAACGTCAGCGATGCTCGTCATCTTTGCTCGCATTGTTATCAGAGGCGTCGGAGACGGGGAAGGCTAGGGGGCTATATCCCCACATCTTTCTACCCTAAACTTGGACATTTTCTTGCACGTTTTATATCACTTATATATAATCTGAATTGTAGCCCTCCAGTTAAAAAAAACGCTCAGACGTCCCTGGTTATTAATGGTTATATGTGTTTATTAGAATCAGAAGTACAAGAAGAAACCACAGAAAAACAAGAACCTGAACTCAAAAAGCCCGTTCGTAACAAAGACATCATTGATAAACTGGATCTGAGAAAAAAGGTTTGTTACCTGCTTTTTTAGTTTTGGTCTAGTTTGTTTGTGAGTGTCGTTTTATCTTTCTTTCGTACGTTCTCAAAGGGTCCTGAAACTCTTCAAACCTTAATTTAGTTAAATCTGTATTTAAGTCCAAATAATCCCTCATAATCCTTACTCCCCCAAGTAATAATTCCTTACTAAGAGCGGCTCTCGACTCGATATAATATTAAATGAATGAAAATATAAATAATATATTAAATCTTTTTATTTAACTGACTAGTCGTTCTAGCGCGTTCATTCAAATTGGGGACACTTTTTTTCTTCACTCACACATAAGTGGGTACCAAATATATTTTCTCGCTGTTAGTTTGGTTGTAAAAACCTTTGGATTCATCCTATTTGATAGTTTTTTGATCGGGCGCTACTTTTAAAATTCCACTCTTATAGATAGAACATGATAAGCCGTATCTAGTATCTAATAATTGTCCTATTTCACTATGACGTCACTGCTTGTTTATGTAGGGGCTGGAATCGCCAAATCCAAAGAAAATTCAACAAAATTTGCTCCTAGCGAAACAGTTTAATCTAAATTGGCCTGGTTTTCAGATATAATATGTGTTAATATGTACTAAAAAATATTCTGAGCGTTTGCTGGCTATTCTACTTCTCTTCGTGAATTGATACAGGTTTCAGAACAATTTTCGGTGAGTTGGCGTTGATTTGACCCCCGACGACGACCATGATCCTTTGCGTTTAAACAATAGATTGTTTTGATGTGACGTCATAGTGAAATAGGGCAATTAGTATTTAATATCACATAATAGATACTAATGGTATTGCACTGTGCTCAGGTGAATCCCGAAGACGCAACCATTTACGTCAGTTCTGACGACCAATACATTTATGCTTTGGATGCGAAGACAGGAGAATTGATGTGGAAATATGGCACCGCTGAAGATGGTGGATCGCGCTGCGCCTTCAGTCCTGACGAGTCAGTGGTGTACTGTGGTACAGATGATCATTATATCCGTGCATTTGATCGATTAGACGGGACTTTGTTATGGAAGTTTAAGACAGAGGGCGCTGTTGTATCTTCTACCGGTGTTGGTACTGATGGTACGCTGTATGTGGGGAGTCTGGATGGTGATATGTATGCAGTCAATAAAGACGGGTCTTTGAAATGGAAAAAACACTTGGGCGATCAGGTTAGTCAGTATGGGCCATATTTTGGCTGGAATATTTTTATCTTAAGGTGACTGCCTACTTTTGGAAATTGATTTAAGCTTTTTTTAAAACTACGATTTTCCGAATTGAAATTTAATGCTGATTCCAAATCTGGAAAGAAAAATAGGGTGTCCCGAGCTCGTTTTCGAGATAATCAGCATTTAATGGAAGCCTTCGCACGAGCTTTTGGAGTAAAAAGTGCGCCACCGGAAGTGATTAGAAAAAAATTAAGATTAATAAGATAATAGTTATTTGCAGACTATATGATTGTACGAATGAAGGCTAGTCAATCATTCTACAATAATACATGGATATTTTCGACRAAAAGACAAAGAGATACATTGATTTGTCATATTTTGTAGTTTCGGTGCTCTTAAAAAATCTCATAAAGTCGAACAAAAAACCCTACAAAAATCTATTTTTTCACGTGTTCCTGATTTAAGCTTTTCCTAAAATGTTGATATAACCTAGATTTTTAGGGGATTTTTCGAATGAGCTATCAAAAAATATAGAGTCCCGTGAAAAACTTGAGGGTTTTGCCCTGTTGAAGCTCAAACGCGTATGGTTCTTCAATAAGATCATTGTAGATTTTTCAGCGGTTTTTGAGCACGCGCACATCGTGGGCTCAAATCGAACGTTCAAAAGTAGGCAGCCACCTTAAGCGCATGCGTGGAAGCCAATCACTCTTCTGCCCCCCGCCCCACCTTTAAACGGGAGAGGGTTCCTCCCAATGAGGCAAACAAGGACTACCAGTCATTTCTTTGCATTTCTTCTCTGTCATGCACGTTCTTCCAGCTTGTTTTAAGGCCTTAAAAACATAGTAACTTTCTTGTTTTCATTCCATTGCGTCTAATTGCTTGTCATTTTAGTTTATTTTCTCATTATATTTTCCGTTTTTGTGAAAGAAAATTAATTTAAAATGTATTTTACAGAAGTAGTTTGTAATATCTTTTTGCTTCTTTGCCAAGATCTGGTCTTCGCCAGCTCTAAAAGATGGTGGCCGCGTCGTCTTTGTCGGCTCTATGACGGATACAACGTCTAACATCTTCGCTTTAAAAGGAGAAACAGGCGAATCCGTATGGGATCTAAAAACTCAAGGACCAGTATTCTCCTCTCCAGCTCTCAACGAAGACGAAAGTGTCATGTTTGTCTGCTCTTTTGATGCCAATTGCTACGCATTTGACTCGGAAACTGGGAAGATAGCGTGGGTTTTTGAAGGAGATGGATCCTTTCAATCTTCTCCTGTCCTTAGTAAAAGTACCCAAACGATGTATGTTGCTTCTACTGAAGGGAATGTCTTTGCAGTGAGCACGAAAAATGGAAAACGTGTGTGGAAATATCAATGTGAGTGAAACCAGTTGTTTTCTAGCACTTTCTACAATTATTTTTGCAAACTTTAAAGAATTCTTCAGGGTAAACTTGCGTGTAAAAAGAGTCTTCGTTTTGTACTATCTATCTATTTATTTTTTTGCCATTTATTTTCTTTCCTTCCTCTTTATATCTTATTATAAGTGAAATTTATCAGTAAGCTGCAACAGAGTTTCCTTTTTCTTTTCAAAAACAACCCTTTATTTTAGCGGGAATTTGAAGATATTGCAACCAAAATGTCGACCAAATCATCATATTACCTGTTATCATAGAAAAATAGGTATACCAGAAAGACGAAGTTTGTTCTTTATTTACTTCGTGAAACCGGAAGTTAGTTGAACCGATGTAATTAACATTTCTATAGACATCAATAAATCGTACGATCGTTTTAACCACGCAGGGTGGTGGCATACAGCCGTGATCGTCTAGAGGTTAGGACATTGCGTTGTGGCCGCAATAACCCAGGTTCGAATCCTGGTCACGGCAAAATTTTTTTCTTTTGCTAGTTTTTTTTATTAACACTAGTTTCTCAATTTTACAACTTATTTTAGCCAAAAAAATTTTTTTCGGCCTTTTCGAGAAATTGGTCTTCTAAATTGTTTGCATAAATTATCGATAATGTATTCATAGTTTTGTATCTGAGCTTTTTTACCATTTTCTACTTTGGAAACGTTACCAAATACTTGCAAGTTAAAATCTAATGGTAGTTAAAGATATTTTTAAAGCTAAAACCGCTTTTTTATTATTTTTTAATGAAAAAAAAAAATTGGCGATTTTCTTCTACGTTCCCTATCAACCACAGGAAGCCCAATCAAAAGCCCAATCGAAAACTTTTATGAAGGAAGTTATTATTTATGCATGAAATTTCAAATCTATATATTTTCTCTTTTTAATTACTAAGAATTTTAACGTTAAACTTTGAGTTTTTGAAAGAAATTCTTTTTACAGTGAAAATTGATGCAAAAAAAATATTTTTTTCGCAGCCAAGGGTGAATACTTCTCGTCTCCATTCCCTGCTCCAAACGGCTTGGTGTACATCGGCTCTGGTATCGGTGAAATCTTAGCATTAAACCAATCTAACGGTCAACTTGTATGGAGGTACAAGACAGAGATGAGCCACCCAATATACTCCACTCCAAAGATGTCAAAAGATGGCGTCCTTTACGTGGGAGGAATTGACGGGTATATTTATGCTTTCCGCTCTGAAGATGGCCAAGTTGTATGGAAATTCAAAACTAATGGGCCTCTTGCTGGCACTGTTCGTATCACCGAAAAGCACAATATGCCTACATCCTAAACAACTGTCTTCTCGTGGGAACTCACCTTTATTTACGACCACTAGGTATTCGACCACATTTCCAGCTTCGACCAAGATAGAGAGAAGTATCCATATAACTACTAAGGTTACTGTCATGTATGAATACATCATTGTGATTGGATAGTTTGTATCTTTACTCTCTCTGATTGGTCAAAGAAAGGATACGCGTACTTTTTGTTTTTGTTGTTTTTTGCTTTCGTTTTTAGGTTTTGCTTTGTTTCTTTCTTTTCTTTTTTTTTTTTTTTTTTTTTTTGTTTTTGTTTTTGTTTTTTTGTTTTTTTTGCTTTGTTATGTACTTGTCCGGCTTTCTCTTTCTTTTCTTTTCTCTTTCTTTTCTTTTCTCTTTCTTTTCTTTTCTTTTATTTGCACTTCTGATCAAAGTCAGTCAAACTCAGTTAAGGTGGTCGATAATTCAGGTGTAAAACCAAAATAAAAAGATTGTAACATTAATTAATACAAAAGATAGATAAATCATAATTAAAATAGACTTACATAAAAATAATTGAATCATTCTAAAATATGCTTACCGTACCTTATAGCATAACTTAAAACCACCCTATATTCAAACTTTACTTTGACTGTGAAATTCTTTGTTTTGTGACCCTTCTTTTTTCAAATATCATTTGGATAATTTTTGTACCATCAGCCATGTAAGGGAAGGAACTTGACTGCGAATATTAAACCACCTAACCTAGGTTCAGAGGCTTTCTCGATCCACTTCTTCTCGGTCGTATGTCTTGATGACATTCTCGTACCCAGAGCCTAAACATAACGAAAATCTTGGCTAATGAGTAGGATTTGGGAACGAGAATGTTGCAATAACAAAAACTACGACCGGGAGGAACTGGAGCGAAAGTGCCTTTATGGAACCCACGGTAAGTGAAGGTGTATCCAACTTAACTTCCGCAAAACAAAGGATCGTGAAGTAAAGAATTTTACAGTCCAATTTTTATTCCTCAAACGATATCTAATAGTACAAATATGGTATAATCATCACTTCACCTAACTTCTTCCCACTCGGTTGTGCATAAGGCCTTGATTGACGTAATCATAGCACAGGTTTATGGGAACAAGACCCAACCTCCCTCCTCCTGAACCACGCCCATTACCCGACTCCGCGAGTTTTACTTAGTTTCCAGGACCTTTAATGCAAATTGATCTACCCAGCCATTCCCAGAGTGTTTCAAACTAAATTTAAAGTTCAAATGACAGATTTAGACTTATTTTAATATCTTAAAATGTTCTTAAATGAAAATATTTAAATTAAAGAAAAGAGTAGATTATCGAATTCTGTGTTTGAGAGTTTTACTTCATAGCTATTATACTGTTTCTATTAATCCTTTCTCGTTATATTTGCAGTTATCTCCAATGATCAGTATCTTTTACCTGTTACTTGATTGGTTTTTCACACTAGAAAAGGAGAAAGAAACGAAAGAAACCTTTGAGTTAATAGTCCCTTTCACAGTTCCCTGCGCCACCTTGAAAGGTAGCCGTGCCTTTGTAATGAAGCGAGACGAACGGTGAGCTTGCAATGATTGGGACATTTTTTAACACCTTCGACAATTATTCACATGTCTCTATCATTGCAAGCTCAACCGTTCGTCTCGCTTCGATGCAAAGGCACGGCTACCTTTCAAGATGGCGTAGGGAACCGGAAGGGGACCACTGAGTAAGTCTTCGTTACTCGGTGCTGACCAGCAGGAACGCAGGCTCTAGATACGATATTGATCCAATACGAGCTGCATGCATGGGACTTTTCTGTGTTCGATAAACAAGATGCATTATGGTCTGGCTTCGGTACAAACAACACCATATTAGGCATGATGAACAAAAGATATTCGTACCGAAGCTAGACCACAATGCACCATGTTCTCAATCTCAGAAAAGTTCTATGGGTTTACAACTTCGCTACAGTCCTTTAGCTGTCATTATCAAACTTAGGATACCCACCACAAAAACTACTTACCTGACGGTTTGACATGATGACATGACATTCAATAGTTGATTCTGTACGTCCATCAACATATCAATGGCTTTCTGTTTCTTCCTGTCTTCGTCAGTCACAGGACCAGAAGCGCTGCTGCTAGCTTCTCTGATTCTCCTCGCCTTTTCTTCGGCTTCTAGTTTCGATACTTGTTTACCGAGTGTCTTGTGCAATAATTCTTCGTGCATAAGTTCTTTTCGATTAGACTGATCAACCAAAGTCATTTCTTTCTTTACCTTCTTTTCTTTCTAAATACAGGAAAATCACATTCTCGTACCCAGATCCTACTCATGCTACTGCAAATAAGTAGGGTCTGGGTTCGAGAATGAGAAAAAGGCATAAAATCGGTTGGTATCAATGACGTCAATTTTGTGGTCACGTGTAGAATTCTTACTAAGTCGATGGAAATTTGTTTTCAAAATAGGAAATATTCATAGATGGTTGAGAATGGAGGCGGATGTTGCATGCATTTTACCTTCAATTTTCCAAATAACCTGAGCAAATCTTCTTGTACTTGAATAAGAGTTTTATCAACTGCATTATATCCCGTATTTCGCCTTTGGTTGTATTCGTCCACTTTTTGTTGTCTTGTTATCTCGAATTCTTCTTTAAGCTTCTTTTTGGTCGGCATCCTACGAATTTCCTGCAAAACCATTTCCTTGTTTTCCTCTGTTAATAGACGTTGTTTGTTTTCTTTCTTCTCTTGTTCTTTCTGTTTCAGGAGTACGTTTTTGAATTATGAGTTTTATAAACGAGGTGCATTCTGGTCTTGCTTGGGTACAAACGACACCATAAAAGGCATAAACAAAAAATTGTATCCAAAGTAGCTAGACCGCAATGCATTATGTTCTCTATCTCAGAAAATATCTATGTTATTATAATCTGTACGAGTGATACACCAGAGTTTTTCTTTTTGGGGCAGGGAACGGACAAGTTTTGTGTTGGGTGGAAGAGGATGATAATAATAATAATAATTATTATTATAATTATAATAATAATAATAATTATTATTATTATCATTATTATTGGAAGAGGATAGAGGAAGGGGATTCGACCATGCATAGAGCAGTTGTAAAGTGCTGTCAGTATAATTAATGAGCATAGCAGAAATCTCGAGTCGGTATGGCGCGTGTGGAGTGTGACGAATAGAAAACTGCGCATGCTTTATGACTGCAATACCTGCAATGTCCTGAAAGCATTCAGAAGATCCTCATGCACAAGGGACAGTCTGGCATTAGTGTCTGCCATCGCCAAACTCTCTTCACTTTCTTCAGTCAATAGTACTTCCATTTGTTCAATCCTTCTCTGTCGTTCGTCTTCAATCGCCCGCTTGCTACGTCGAAAACTTGCTTTCTTCAACAACTCTTCCTGCATTCTTTCTTTGGCGACTTCTGCAGCTCGTCTTTCCTTTTCACATTCTTCTTGAAACTTTGCCTGAAACACGCAATATGGAATCAAGAATTTGATTGGATAAATCAATTGTTTGCATTTTGATTTGTTGATAGCGATCAAGCCATTCAAGTGTACATGTCAAGGGAAGCCCGACATTTGACTTACATTATGAATAGCAAACAGATGTAGAAGTTCTTCTTGCATGCTTGTCACGTGATCTGACGTTTCGCGAAGGTCAAGGTCATCTGCCAAGGATTGAGTGAAAGGAACAGACATGCGTCGTTTCTTCTCGTTGTCTTCAGCCATGTCAACCAGTCTTGTAGTTTGACTCGGATTTTCCCCCTCGAGAGAGAGAACCGATAACGAATTCATTTCAGACCTGCGTTTCGTATCTTCTTGCGCATGTGCAACGTCCTGGTCACGAAAGCAACAAAATCGCTAAATTACTAAAATCACGTTGCTTGTTTTTTTTAAAAAAAAAGTTAGAAAAATAAAAGATTCAACTGACATTAACCCAATGCATGTGACGTACTTGCATGGCTATCAAATGGCTTCCGAGCTTTCTGAACCAATAACAGCCACGCAATTTGCATACCAACCACCAATTACAATCTGCTTAAATACGGAAGCCACTTGAGTGTAATGTACTTCATGTTTCTCCTTCGTACGATCGCACGAAGACATCCAGGAGCTACAACGTATCCCCAGTGACTTCTCTAAAGCTTACTAGTTTGTTCCCTCCTGTTTTCCCCACAAAACTTGAGCTTTTAATTTTGATTTGAAATGCCTACCACTTTTCCAAAGTGTCTTCTCAGAAGCTGTTTCATCCCTTCCAATTCTTGCAACACGTCATCGGCATCAAAATCACTCTCGCTGCTTTCGTCCGACATTTTATCAGTTTCCGTGAATTTGTGCACTATCTGATGCGGAATTGAAAGATTTTTAATTTGGTTGTGTCGTCATCTTAATGCTAATATAGTTTATGACGTCAGATTACAAAATTAGACCAAACTTTGGGCCATAAGTCTTTGCGCGCGCGAAGTCCAAAAACATAATAAACCTTTTCAGAAATATATTTTGGAAGTCTATTTAAAGTACTATTTTTTAACTAATAAAGCAGGCACGATTTAAGAGTTTATGGAGAGAAAAAAAGGAAGAAAAAAGAAAGAAAGAAAGAAGAAGAAAAAAGAAAGAAAGAAAGAAAGAAAAAACTGATAAAGCAATTTCTGCCCTTCCTTCCCCTCCCCCACTAGCAATTCAAATCACGTGTGCATTCATAATAACACACGTTCGAATTTTCACTAGGGTCTCCTCAACAACAGCTGAAAAATGCCTGCTTATTTATTGCTTCTATCAACTCTCCTTTCCCAAGGAATAACGATTCATAGTACAGAAGAAAGCGTCTTTCCCAGAGGCCATCTACAGCCTTTAGGCAGCCATCGTGATCCTGACAACAGTTTAATCGATGAACTTCATGATGTTCCTTCCGCTAAAGATTTTTGGGAACGATATGTGAAACCTTCTCGAGCTGTTGTCTTGAGAGGTGCCGCTAAAAACTCGCCTGCTTTTACTAAATGGACTGATGAATATCTGGCTAAGCATTATGGAGACTTAGTAGTTCGCTTAGAAAGAAAGAAAGAAAAAAGCGGAGCAGTGCCAGTTGGTGTTAAAGGCATTGGACTTGACACTATAGGCAAGTACGCCGTACTGTTAACTTGATTAAACTAGATAAAGTTAGGTTTAAAACTACTTTTTTAAGACTTCCGAATCTTTATATTTATTCTTTAACCACTGTATATAGTCTGTGATTTTTGCGATAATCACGAAATTAATGTTTATTCATGAAAAAGTTCGTGTTTTTTAAAGTCCTTTGACATTTATTCATGAAAAGTCCAAGCAATTCAAGTCTCAATCAATTAATCTTTATTATTTTTGTTCCAGCTATTACTGTAAAAATATTTTTAATTCCTTCAGAATTTGTTATTTTTTTAAATTTTTTGAACCTCTTCTTCTCGTTGCAAAGACAAGAAATTTCCATCGAAATATTTCAGAAGAAAACGTGTTTACAAGAGCATTTTGGTTTCAAGTGCTCATGAGTTCAACCAGCTGTCAAAACCCTTTCATTAACAACAGCTGGAGATCTTAAAACACTCCGTAAGAACAGGCATTATCACTTGCAAATTATCAATATTGTTAGTTGAAAATTATAATGTTTGATTGTCTTACACCCACAGTACCCCATGTATGTTATAATTGTTTTAGATATATATCAATAATGATTAGAGATGCAAATGACAGCAAATATGTTTGGCCCTACCAAAATTCCTACCAAAGTTTGTCCCAACCAAAATCTCATTTGCACTAGAATGTAAGAAACTATTTGTCAAACCTGTAGCTGTAACTAAGTTGTTTATTATTATAATTATTATTTATTATTATTAAACCACTCTTTTTGTCTTTGCATATTCAAAAGAAGACTAGTGATAAGGTCAGGTTTTTGGCTTGAGGCCTCTGAAGCAGAGACAATAAGCTAGGGTTATCTTCGGTGTAATATTATTTATGCTGCTCTTTTGTTATATCTATTGTGACTCATTCATATATTGTAAAGCTGGCATTGTTTTTTTTTTTTGGTATTGTGATGTCAGCTGTGCTGTATAAATCATACTACGCCAGAGATAAGCCGACAATAATGGCTCCTTTGAAGTTTGGTTGACTGGAACAAATTTTGTAACCCTCCCCTCCCCCCCCAAAAAAAGACAAAAAACACATCTGCACTGTTCCCATGATGACAGATTTCTTGGTAGCACAACAAGGATTTGCCTAGGGCAAATGCACCTGACAACAAATCTCATTCAATTTGCTATAAGAACTTATATTCCTTTGGGGTGAAAATGATATTTTGTTTATCACTTTTGCATTTAGTGATAAGATGGCGAAAATAATCTAAGGGGATAAGGGTAATATACAAGATATTACCAATGGGGGGGGGGGGTAGGGTGAAATCCTAGGGGGCTAAAATGTTCATCTAAGGCTGCATTTATATGGTACTAGACAAATTTTGAACCGGTCAAAAAGATGTATGTTTAGGGGTTCCATTCACACATGAATGAGCTATCTAGTAAACAAAAATTTCTGGTTCCATATAAACAGAACATATTTTTTATACAATTAAAGAGAGGGCTTTGTGTAAATGGTTTATACCGGTCAAATGTTTGGCTGGTTCAAAATGTGCCCGGTACCATGTAAATGCAGCCTAAGGGCTATGTATGAAACCACAAAAAGGAAATGTTCTAAAATATTTTTGAACTTCAACACAGGGAATTTTATCAAGCATTACCATCAAACTAACAGCTATATTGTGTCTGAGTTACCCACACCCATGTGGCATGATTTTCAAGTGCAACCTTGTCTTCTGTGTGGGTCGTTTCGCAAGCGTCTTGTTGAGGTTGATCTATGGATGAGTGGTGGAGGATCTAGCAGCATTCTACATAAAGACGCTTTTAACGCCATTAACTGTTTATACAATGGAACAAAGGAATGGAAAATGATTGAATATAAATATGAAGACAAAATCTACAAGGCATGGGAACCAGACAGAGAAATTGGAGGATTCTCGCGCATTGATCCTCTTAAAGTTGACTTGATAAAGTACCCCAAGGTGGCTGAGGTACCTTGGTCATTTGTGACCATCAATGCAGGGGATTGTTTGTTTTTACCAAAAAGTAAGAAGCAAATTTTAAAATCTAGATGCCCTGAAACAATTTTTTTAGATTTTTTAGATTCCCTTGAGCATTATTTCTTTCTTTAATAGGAATGCTTTTCAGCTATGGTGCAATGTTTTCCCATTTCAGACCATGTGTCTTTCCCTTGAGTATCATTTCTTTCTTCACTAGGAATGCTTATTTTTGCTTTGTATCAAACAGGTTACTATCATCAGGTCACTTCATATGGCACTATGAACGTAGCTCTCGCCATTTTGTTCTCAAGGTTCGAGGGGGAAGAAAATATTGATCTAAGTGATTGTCATGGTAACAAGTCTTATACACCGTTAAGTGAATTAGAATTAGACTGGATGTTCCCAGGTCACGGCAACCTTAGTATGGGTAACCCAGATCTTGAGGATGTGAGGTGAGTCATTGTCATGGTAACCATATTTGCTTATAGTAACCTTAATTTTCTTGAAAAGTGTTTTCTTATTTCTTAATCATATGTAGTTTATTACAAACACACACAAGCACTGTGGCAGCCACCAGTGGTGCCTCTGACCTCAATTTCAAAGTTATTTTTGTTTCATGTAATTTATTGTGTAAAATGTAAATGTATATTTTTAATGTTTTGTCAGGGTTGAACTGAAGTGGTTTTTCTTTTCTTTCAGAACAATCCTGATGAAAAGTGTTGAGGAAGGTAATCCAAGGGAGTTTGTCTTCAAGACTTTCAAACAGGTATTTTAATATACGTAATTATATATATTTTATATCAATCAAACAGGAAGTGTTTGCTCTCCTCTATCTCCCCAGGAGAGAGCCAGGTACTCATATTATGAATTTGAAGTAAAAAGGTGATTTTTTTTTTGCAGTATTGTTAGGTATTTATGGTTTATCGTAACTCAGGCAGACATTTCACATCCATCTTTTCCCTATGTTTTTTTCCTTTTCGAACTCATTTTTTCTTTATTTTTCCTTTATTTTTCCGTTCCCTTTCTGATTCCATTCTTTTTGTATTTCCTTTTCCCATTATTTTCTCTTTCATTTCCCCCTGAATTTCTGTATATCTTATTCCATCTTACCATCGATGGCGTTCACGGCCACCATGTTGGATGAATTCAACACCTTAGATTCGTCATTACACTCTTTTCTTCAGTTATATCATCCAACATGGGCACCATGTCTTTTGTTATTTCATTCTCTTGAGAATGATTGAAAACCAGCAATTTTCCCCCATGGGTTATTAGCAGCCCCCCCCCCCCTCCCCCCTCTTTTAAGTTGAATGGACCAAAATGAATAAAGCTGACATTTTCCCTTGTGATTCCAGATGTTTCCTGAAAAGTCAGATGAATGGGTTGGTAACAAGTCTGAGGAGGTATGTATCAAACAATATTCTGTATTCTTTTGCAATAGTTTTAATTTTAGCAAAGGCTTATAATAACATAATGGCTGGGGACATAATAGCTGGGGGCATAATAGCTGGGGACATAATAGCTGGGAGCGTAATGTTTGGGGGCATAGTAGCTTGGGAGCATAATAGCTTGGGGCATAATAGCTGGGGGTGTCATGGTTAGGGGCAATATAGCTGGGGGTGTCTTGGATGGGGGCATAATAGCTGGGGTGTCATGGCTGGGGGCACATAGCTGAGAGCGTCATAGCAGGGGACTAATAGCTGGGGGTGTCATGGCTGGGGGCATATAGCTGGGGTGTCTTGGATGGGGGCATAATAGCTGAGGGCGTCATAGCAGGGGACTAATAGCTGGGGGTGTCATGGCTGGGAGCATAATAGCTGGGGGTGTCATGGCTGTCAGTCTTATCATTTTTGCTTGTATTTTAATCTTATTAAAATATTTTCCCCAGATTGCCGCAGCAGTTGGTCTTGACAAGAAGAAGATTATTACCACTGAAGACATCCAGAACCTTAACAGAGACGACTTGCGCAAGATAGCACTTATTGTTCAACCAACTGACCTATCAAACACTGAACTACACGAACATACCTATGTCAACCCCACTGCTGTATGGTATGGGAAACCTGTGGTTTACAGGTGTTTGTAATATTTTTAACACAATGCTTCTTGTCCTTGCAGGGAAATCGTGAAACGTCTCTTGCAAGAAGATGGGAAACTAAATAAAAAGAAATTCATCCATTTCTACAAAAAGGTATTATAAAATAATTGTTATGAATGTCGCCTTCTGATTGATTTGGAGCGCGTGCTTTATGAGAGCACATTGCACGCGCGCGCACTTTCCGTTGCGTCATTCCTATCTAAAAYAACGGTTATTGTAATTTGTATTTTATAAAAGAAATAAAAAACTTGCTTGCTGTGCTGTGTGCAGTCATAAAGCACTTGGGGGTTGGCAGAACACTCAAGAAGTGCCGGTCCAGCTCCTAACACTTCTCTCGTGTTCTGCCAACCCCCGCGTGCTTTATGACAGCACACAGCACGCACGCGCGTTTTCTATTTCTTCAATATTATATGGACCTTGACAGTTGATGTGGGTTGCCAAAGTACTTCAAGGATTTTGAATAGTCTTCTAGGGTTACTAGCCACGTTGGGTATTAACGTCATCATCAGCATCAACACCATCTCCATCAGCATTACTGTCATTATATTCAATATCATCGTTATCAGCATCATCATCATTCACCGTCAACAACATCGTCGTCTTCATCACTACCATCTTCATCAGCATCATTTATCATCATCATCATATTTATTAACACCATCGAAATACCCGTATTCTAATAACCACACATTGTGTTCTTTGAAGGAAGCCTATGGAACGGAAAAATTTGCGAATGAGGTAATCAAAGATTTCCAACATATTTCTCAAAAAAAGTTAGACTTAATTTATTCGTAAATCCACGCCTAATTATGCATATTTTAATCGTTACGTCACGCCTGTTTCTATTGGTACATTTTATAATCTCTAATACGCGTTTCAACCCTTGGTTTTGTAGATACTGTCTAAGCTAAGTAAAGATTCAGATAACCAATGGATAAACAAAGAAGATGTATCATCTAAGCTGCGGGAAGCTCTTTCTCCTTACTTTGACAACCAGAGAGAGGAGTATATTCCCCCAGGTGAGATGGAACCTGAAGAGAATGATGCTTACGGCGATGAGAAGGATGACGAGCTACCTTTACAACCAACACATGAAGAACTCTAGTATTATATCATAATTGTATTAAAAGATTGATAATTTATTTAGGAATAGATAACGAGACGTTTTTAAACATTATATTCAGTGGTGCCTCTATTATAGAATTACAATATCTGCTCTAATTGGTGGTCAAACACTTACCAAACACTGACCACCATCGATTTAGCTGATAAAAATTCCGCAGGAGAACTGAAATGACATTAAGTGTTAGGCAGCAACTAATAAACGGCAGCTAGTTGCAACGTCACGAAATTTTCTTGTCATATTCATCACAAAACAAACCTCTGTTCAACACCCTAAATCCAATAAAAAAAATTGAAGATGAAAAAAAGTATGAAAAACCTTGTTTGCAAAAGGTGGGATTCGAACCCGCGTCCATCGGGAGAAAACAAAAAATCGACTCCACTTTGCCATACCCCCGAGACATCCGCAGAGCTGARGCGGCGTATGGACTTCGGACCTGACGGCGATTAAATCCTTCTGCCCTTGGGTGTACGAGTTACGCAAGAAAATGTTCTAGCCGAAGCATCAGGCCATATCGGCTAATCCCTTGCATCTCTGCCACGCACGGAATCGGTTGAAATATTGTTATGCTAATTATTGTAAACGTGGCCCAGTGGATTAAGGTGGCTGGACCCCCTCACGCTTGACCGCTACCTTCACGTTTGGAACGCTGGTGCATAAACGTGCTTTATCCGATTGCAAATCTTTTTTGCACATAAGTCACATAAAGATTGAATTAATGTTTGATGCAGTTTTTAATGAGATCGGACGTCATAACACGTGATTATGATTAAATATTTGTTTTCGTTTAGAGAACAATTTTAGCCTTGCAGAGCGTTCAACACTAAAATGCTTCTTACCACATAATTATGTACTAGATGCCTCCATTTGTAGGGATTTTTAAAAAAATCTATCTAGCTAATTACGAGATATTTGAGATTCTTTAAATATAGTGCATAATTTACTTCAAAACTAAACAATGGATTTAATACGGCCGAGATTAATAGTTCAGAGCTATATATTCACAAAAGTCATTGCTCATTTAGTTTTACTCTGTATCTAGTCTTAAAAGGAACATTTTGAAGATAATCGACTCGTGCGATTTTGTAAAAACGCATAATGCAGAAGACGGGGTAATCATTTGATGCGCATTTTTCATCGCAGTTTTCTAGTCAATCTTACAAGATCTTCCATTATTCTAAAATTCGTTGATTATAAGTACTATATATTGTGCTTTTACGATTGTAGATTTTCAAAAACAAAAAAGTGAATTTATCCTTGAATGCGTTCTCTATTTAAACATCTTGGACAATATGTTTGCACGTGGTTGTACCATTTTATGCATTTCTGTGGATCTTCATAGGCCCTCAAAAGACGCTATCTGACTTCATTTGGAATTTGGTTTCTTTGTTGAACCATTGCAATATCCAAAAAAGACGGATTAAAAAATTTCAGAACTGACTTGATATTTATACCTAACGGCGCTTTGTTTGTACGAAATCATATTCACGGCTTGTAAAAAAAAAAAAAATGAAAAGACAGTTAAAATCCTACAATTTCTAGTGGAAAATATACTTATATTGTATTGCGTAAATAAATGTCCAAAACGCTGTATTGAATGTGTGTCGTGGTTTATTGAGTGCACCAAAACGCTAATGAAAGTTTGAAAACGTTAATGAACCCACGCAAACATATTCACGCAAGGCGCTGTCACAGGGATTTGTGTTTCCCCGAGTTATGTGTTCCCCCGAACACTGGGYACTAGTGTTTTGTGTTCCCCCCTCCCCTCCCTATGAAACATCTTTTGACACGATTCTCTCCCCCAGGTCAAGGATGCTCTATAAATGATTGGTTTTCGGTTTCCAAACCGGCTAAATCTTAGAATTTTCTTTAAATCTAAATTCAACGAAGGAATTCAAAAAATCATGGAAGCTTCACAGTATGATAATGTTCTTAACTATTTATCCTGAAAGGAATATCCTTCTGATTTTGTGAATAAAGAAAAATATGTTTTACGGAGAATGTACAAGAAGTTCTCGCTCGAAATAATTGGGCACTAAGAAACTCACCAGCATCACGCAGTACTATCAGTACTATGGCACGTAGAAAAAGGAGGGGAAAAGAGAGTGGTAGCCAGAGGACGTTAAGAGAAGCAAAGGGTCTTTGAGGAGTGTCATTCATCTGTTTTCGCCGGTCATGTAGGGCTAGAAAATAAAGCCAAAAAAATTTTGCATATCGGTATTTTCATGTATTTTGCCACGAGACCAAGAAAAGAACTCGCTTGATTTATTAAATACCAACGGCAGTAGAGGGTCACGCGGTTATAAAATGTACGATAAAGACGTACGATAGAGATAATCCATTTATTTTTCGTTTTCAGAGTAATAGTTCTCTTTTTAAAGTTAAAACATGTCCTTGACCTGGGGAAGAGAATCGTGTCAAAAGATGTTTCATAGGGAGGGGAGGGGGGAACACAAAACACTAGTGCCCAGTGTTCGGGGGAACACATAACTCGGGGRAACACAAATCCCTGTGACAGCGCCCCGTTCGCCTTATTGTATGCCTGTTCGCTCTAATGACAATGCTTCTTCGCTTCAATGAATATTCCTTTGCGGTTAATGAACAGCAAATGGTGTAATCTCGGCCGTATCAAATCCATTGTTTAGTTTTGAAGTAAATTATGCACTATATTTAAAGAATCTCAAATATCTCGTAATTAGCTAGATAGRTTTTTTCAAAAATCCCTACAAATGGAGGCATCTAGTACATAATTATGTGGTAAGAAGCATTTTAGTGTTGAACGCTCTGCAAGGCTAAAATTGTTCTCTAAACGAAAACAAATATTTAATCATAATCACGTGTTATGACGTCCGATCTCATTAAAAACTGCATCAAACATTAATTCAATCTTTATGTGACTTATGTGCAAAAAAGATTTGCAATCGGATAAAACACGTTTATGCACCAGCGTTCCAAACGTGGAAGGTAGCGGTCAAGCGTGAGGGAGTTCAGCCCTCTGACTTCTGAGTCAAACCCGGTTGAGGGAGGTCAGTACCTGGATGGGTGACCTGAAAATTCTACCTACTCAAGCTTTTCTTCTTATTAATTTTTTTTTTTTTTCTCCTCTCTTTTTATTTATTTATTTATTTTTCTTTCGGCAACCAATCAGACTACAGGATTTTAAACACTACTTTTAGCATCTAGATGATGCTTGGATCATTATTATTCATTAATTGTAATTATCTAATCGAAATTAATCAAGTTTAAATTTTCGCAAAATTCAGTCCATGAGGGAACACTCATAAGGTTGCTGCTGTCAATCATCAACTTATTGTCCAATTACAAAGTGCCTTGAAAAAGCACAGAAAGCCCATACAAGCTTTGAGAACTGAATGTAATTTTAACGAAAATAATAATAAAAGCGAATATTTACTCATATGAAGTGTTATTTACGTCGTCCTTGTTCTTTAGTAGTGATTTCGAGCCATTTTAGCGATTTTGTACAAAAATTTCCTTCCCTTATATATTCAGTTCTCAAAGCTTGTATGGGCTTCCTTTGGAAAATGTCGCTTCACTGAACTCGGCAATATCGATGTGGTTTTTCAGTCGATTGTAATTTTACTGAAAACAATTTTTTTTTTAATTAACAACGAAACTGTCAAGCACCTTAGAAAACAATTACCAACCGCAATATAAAGATTGAATGATTCATCTTTTGTCATTATCAAGTTCCTCATTGTAGTAAAATGCTGAACATAAGGATTTTCAAGGGAGGATGCCGAGGAAGAGTGTCGGTCCTAATGCAAAGTGTAAGTAAAACTTTTCCTTTTTGATTGATATTATTTATATTTTTTTAAACAAATAAAACGCTACTTAAGCTAATTTGAACAGTTTTACAAAAGGTTTCCAAAGATAAATTCGATAAACAACAAACGGAGGATTTCTAAGCGGTTTTCTCTATGAGCATCGTGTCAAGTTTATTTCTTTGAAAAAACTTCGGGGGAATGACAGATCTTACACATACTTACATGAACATATGTTCTTGAAGTTAAGATGGATTAGAGAAGGGATATGAGAATGATGGATTCTTTAAAATATACTTGCAAAACTTCGCAAATCAATCATATCAAGAATCGCAATAAAGCATCAAAACACCAAGCCCAGATTAAATTTTATTTGAAAAGGATAGACTTTTTTTTACTTCGAAAATTACCCTTACATGACCAGGCTTCAAAGCTAAGATAAGCTTATATTAATTTGTCTATCGCTTGATCTTCTACTTTCGATTTGTTCGAAATTGTCTGATATTCATTATCATAACCACATGTTCGTCAAAAACCAAATCCAAAAGCAGTACAGGGGGTGGCTATCTAGAAATGACTTCTACCGAGGGTCTCTGGCTTGAAATTTCCTTACCTAAATCTAAGGGATTTTTGGTTGGAACCTTCTACAGACCGCCAAACTCATCCAATCATTATGACAAGGACTTCATGCAGAAATTGAAAATAATTTTGGATACTGCCACTGCTCAAGGGAAAGAGGTTATATTTACTGGTGACTTGAACGTAGATTTATTGGCAAAAAAGCCTTCTATTCCCGAATGTAAACAAATGAAGACCTTGCTGAAATATCTACACTTTAAACAAGTTATTGACAAGCCGACTAGGATTGCTCCCAATTCCAGCACACTGCTAGATATTATAGAGAGTTTTAGATTGACTTTTTTTCTCCCCGCAAACGGCAAACGTGACCACGTTTTCATAGTTTTCCTTTATTTTATTTTACCTTTTACAAACCTTCTCAACAAGCGCAAATACTCTTTTGTTTTTCTACTACTTGGACTTTTTTGCGATTCTTTTTCAGTAATTTAAAAGAATTTTTTACTGGTCAACTGACGTTTCACGTTTGCCGTGACCGTAAATCTAAAACTCTCTAATAGCTACGAACTGCCCCCAGAATATTTGTGATTCTGGGGTTATATCTGCCAACCTGAGTGACCATGAAATGGTGTTTGGTGTCCGAAAAATCAACTGGAAGAAAGCTCCGTTAAAGAAGTAATGCTCGTAGGCTATTCAAACCGTTTGACCTTTGGAATGAAAACGTCTGCACTACAACAGCGAACGAAGACAACGAAGGAACACGGACACAAGATAAGTAAACAAGTATA